CAACGACGACGACATTACGCTCGTCGATATTGCGATGTTGAGTCACGTCTTGAGTGCGAGGATCGCGCACCGACGAGCTCCGCACGGCGAGGAAGAGAAAGAGAAGAGAGAGAGCGCGCGCGGTTTTGCTCGTTCGGAACGGGGGAGTCCGCGGAGCATCGAGCTCCCAGGAGCACCGGCGTAATTATAGCGTTTAGAGCTACCGAACGGTAACTGAAACCCTCCCTGAGCGACGCGAGAAAGGGCGAGCTCTCTCCTGAAACTGACGTCCCGCGCCTAATGAAGAGGAAAAGCCGAACTCTCTTGATGGGATATCCTCCTCCGAATGATATTCCGGTATGAAAGGGGAGGGGCGCCTCCCTGAATTAAACGGATCCCAAAATTCCTCGGAATCGGCGGGAAGACGGATAGCCTCGCGATGAGACATCGGTTTCTGTTTCATACTTCACTCGACCGACGTATCGAGTCGCGAATTGAGAGCGACTTAACGTTCTCCCGTTATTCCTGCGATTTATCTCCCACCTTCCCCCGTTCGCACGATCGTCTCCCGCAGAATCGGATAGCACGAAGGGCACGATTTAATCCGCGCGAAAGAGAAAGAGAGTGAGAGACCTCGTTGACGTGATAAACCAGGTGCGCAGCTAACATATCGATATCTCGAGAGGTAGTTCGATGCCCTCCCGGTCGCGCGCGAGAGAGAGACAAACGGTCCTCGTCTCGGCGTGGGCGAGGATGTCGTCGAACCTCCGAAGCTCTATCGACGAGAAAGCTGGCCGTCGACTTCGTCGTCGTCAGGGCGTGCCGTACTTCACGGGCATTGGCCGGATGAATTCGTCATCCCGGGCCCTGAGACGTGGCCCACGGACGAGAAAGAAAGAGAGAGACGCCGGGAGGAGTCGAGGGAACGAAGGGGGACCCGAGAACTCGTCTCCGTCGCAGAGCCGGTCATCGCGGTGAGCGCGGACCTCCGCGGAATATATCCGATATCTTTGGAATGGGGCATAGGTCCCAACGACGAGCGGCGGACATTGCCTGAACCTGTCTCCACGCATCGAAGTCTGCCTGCTCACCTGCATTCCATCAAGAGGGGCCAGGAGGGAGGTCTTTCGGGGCCCGCAGGGCCGTGCGGCTCGCGCGCCGCACCCAGCATCGGACACTCACGTGGCCGAGGGACAAAGTGCTTACCTCGCGTTGTAAAATCGCCGAGACTCCGATAGTCGAACCTCTCTCTCCCCCCTCTTTCTCTAATGGAGAATTATTTTCATTGCAACGCACTTCAATCTCCAGAGACAATTCGTTTTCTTCGATGTGAAAAGTCGCCGCCGTTAAAAATGTAAGATATTGGATATCTGTGCCGTCGCGCAGATTTTTGCACACGAGCAGGAATTCGCCAGGAATTCGTCTAATTCTGGTTGGGTGAACGAGCGTAAGGTGTTTTTAAGATGGATCCCCCTCCCCTTGCTGATCATGACTGTGGAGTCTGCGATATAGTGCGCAAATATAGTACATTAATCGTAATGCTCCGGATCGCGATCCTCCTGGTCGTGGTACGATTTGCACACGTGGCTGAGAGAGTCCTGAATACGCTCCTAGCGGACCGGCTCTCTCAGTGTGGCTCAGGGTGTGTAGGATTGGTGCACACCGAATCACTGAGATCAGTGACGTAGTAGTGCGGAGGGCGGGAAATTCTCAGGTCTCGAGAGCGCTTTGCAAAAAGGAAAAAAAAAGAAAAGGGGGGGGGGGAAGGGAGAATAAAAGTCGGAGATAAAATGAGCGGCCGGGGCCGCTCTTTTCTCGGTTCTCTCGAACCTACCACTTAATTTAATCTCGCCCTAACGTCGTGCTCGTGAAAGGCAGCCCGATATATGCCCCCTGTCCTTTTTCCTCTTTCACTCTGTAAAAAAAACGGACTTCATTGTCAATTAATTTTGTTTTTTTACCGCCCCCGTTTTTGCACGACTCAAAGATTAAACGCTGCAACGGTATGAATAATGGGAGAATGCGACAACCCCTCGTCGTCGTTGTCGGGTCAAACGTGAGCGAGTCGCGCTATGACGAACGATGCGAAGGGGCGATAGATACAGATCGCGGGGAATCAATCAATCATCGGTCGAGTCGCGATCGTGATGGCGAACGAGCGGCCGATGCGACACAGAGGAGGAACCCGAGTGGAAATTTGGTTGTATATTAAATTCTATAACATAGTAGGAGTTAAAGAGAGTTAGCTGAGTTCGAGAGTTCAAGAGAGAAGTTAACAAGTATAATATTGTAGGTTCTTATTAATCTATAGACCGTCTAAGTAGGCGCGAAATACCCTCAAGAACGTCAAAGTAACATGAAAATTTCGGTAATCATGGCTAAAATATTTCGTTCACTGGCTTCGTCCCTCGCATGAATAGCTACGCCACTGTGGCCGTTTAAACGCTCCGAGAAGCTTAAAGGACTGTCAGGTCAGATTTATGAAAGGACTTTCTCACCGTCGCGCATTCTCTCTCCCGCGTGTCCGATTTTAACGATTAATAATTATTGGCAATCTTAATTATTACACCGTAATAACAATATTGACGATACTTTCAAATTACTGCATCACGCGCATAGGCAGATTTATCGCCCGCTGCTAGAGCTACCGTTTCAAACTAACTGCCTTCCGTCTCTCTCGTTTCTCCTCGTATCACCGTGAAATTTCCCACTACTCGCTCTCGACGTTCTCGCCGTTTTTAACGCCGTATATACGTTACGTCGCCGTGACGTTAGAACGATAATCGACTGGCGGCTCGCTGGGAATCTGAAACTTCCTTGGAATCTGTTACATCGAACGCCCGTTTCTTTTTCGATGAGCCTGCACCTCGACTTTTTTATGTGCTGCTTATACGTATGCGCGCCGTACGCACCGAGAAAAAGATTTCTTCAAATTCAATCAATTTTATCGCATCCAAACAAATTTCATCATCGGTATGCTCCGAATGTTTCGATTAATAAGTACGATTTTAGTTAGACTCTTCAACGAATACGTATCTTTATCTCAAATAAAAAATTGTGTTCGAAGCGAAAGGTAATTTTCTATAAAGAAATTATTTCAAATAATAACGTTCTTTCTTTCTTTAAATAATCGAATTTTCTTGAACGAGACGATAAAATTTTCACTCAAACAAATAATATTTCGTACAAGTATATGTTGCTTCTGTGAAGCAAATTTTAGTCAAATAAATAGAAACGCTAAATCTAAAGAAAGCTTTTTCTCTGTGTAAAAGCTCTTTAAAATCGTCTGTTTCTTTGTCCCACCCTGTATATACGCGTGCAAAGGCGATAGACCGAGTACCTGGCACGTATATCTGCATTCCTGCGACGCGACGGGTGCCCTCGGACGCAGGGGCCCGTTGCCGAGAGACGGACCTGAAAGGGCCCCCAATGCGTTCGAGAACACGTCGGCCCTATGGCATGCGGCTCGGGTCCAGCTCTCTCTCGGTGCGGCGGGGTCATGAGAAGTTAAGTAGCCACTCCGGGGTCCCGCTTCGACGGCGAACCTCCCAAAGTGTGATGCAACGTACGCCTCAATCAGCGATGTGTGTAATAATCCCGTTTCTCATGCCCATTCCCGCCGTGATCGATGCCACCTGACGACCTCGTTCGTCGCCGCCCCCGTCTTCGGGGAATAATTAAAAACACACCGGCGATGGACTTTCGTAGTCTTTCGCGTTGTTAAGATAGTTGGTACTCCGCCAAGTGTAAGAACTTTCGATAGCGATATTAAGGGACTCTTCATAAGTTTACTTTTTTAATAAAAAAAGCTCTTCTCTAACCCGATTTAATTGTCTGAGAAATGAAAGTTCGATTTTTAGCGAAATTAAGATAAATATACACACAATATTACGAAAATAGATATTACATATTTTTTTCTTTTCCTTATTAATGCTTTGTTACATGTCAGTTAATCTGATAGAGGTGCACACATATGAAAGAAAATGCCGTGTAAATATTTAAATATGTGTGCACGTACATATATTATGGGTGTTTCTATAAATTATAAATTTCTTGTGGGTATATTTGCAAAACAAAACAGTCAATAATTTTGAAATGTTTATATAATGTTTATGTATTAGAACATCACCGTGTTGTCCGTTAAAATGTTGAATGTGCTTTATAGGAAAAATTAAAAATTGGACATCAACTTCAAGGAACGTGTATAAGAGTATGAAAAATATCAATTTTAGTTGCGAATATCCCAGTGTGTAGATAGTATTTTCATCAATATGCAATTAGAATGCGAAAAGGATCCCTAAGAAGATGGTTTTACGGGCGCAGCTATCTCAAACTGCAACACGAACGCCCTTCATTCGCTATCTCGGACAATAAGTGTCACAAAACTGTCGCCGAGTCATTGTCGAGATCTTTTTCAAAAAGTCTCGACAGCTCTTCCTTTTATATTTCTCAAGAGCTTTATCCTTTTTTCAAGAAGAGTACTTCGAGAGTTCCTTCGCAGTTTATATTTGAAACCGATACCTAAAGTGCTCACGGTTTTTATCGGTATTTATCTATCTTTGTCCTGGAACTCAGGAGGAATTTTTATCGATAGCTAACGGTTAATAATTAGTCTGTTGCGTAAGGCATTTTATTGCGTGGGGTTCGGATAATTTTATCCTCAAGCGACATTTAATAGATTCTCGGTTAACGACACGCGAATTAAAAATAATCCTCGGCGGTGACTTTTATTTATACATGCGCTTGGACGCATAATAGTCATGCTATGTTTATCGTTCGACGATGATACGCTACGTGCTTCGATGAGTCTCCGTTATCCGTTGTATCCAATAACACTGATTAACAAATTTCGTATCATATATTGTACCCTTTTTAAACTGAAATTTATTCTACTTACGTGTTTATGTGTTGAAACAGAAAATGACAATAAAAAAAGAAATTATTTAGATACAGTTCAAGAAATATAGGCTGTATTTTATTCTCTCTATCACGGCTCACGTATTTTTCTTGCTGCATTCTAGAAAGCTCGGCCTGGATCTGGTGCCACGTCAAGGTGCTCACATGGTGGACCCGGATACCATGTCCGTTGTCGAATTATATCATGTGGTAAGGATCACGAGCACATGTCTCGAGGGCATCGCGAAACTAACGTCGAATGGAACGTCACGGTGAAAAACGAGCAAAGTTGCGGAACGTGCGACAGCGCGAAGCTAACCGTGAATTCATTAAAACGCCGATCACGAAGGTAGCCTCGTTTAATTTCGCGACGTGCGAAGCGATACAGTTACCTCGCCGATCCTGGCTTCTCATGGCTACGAACGCCGCTAGTTATGGTCGTTCCAATTCGCCCGCAAATTCTCGATATTATACGATATAAATCACTTGGCAGTTTCTATTAAGGGGACAAAAAGGTTTGAACGTATATTGATAAAATGTTACTCGTTTACTACTGTTAGAGAAATTAATTGAATACGAAATCTTTTGTAAGACAGGTTAATATTATGCAAGGTGATCCATTTAAATTGAGAATATCTTGAATACTTCACTTGTTTTTGATGATGGGGAGAAATGTCTAAGGAAAAAGTTCGAGAGAGCAATTGTTACGACAAAAGAGAGGTTTTCCTCAAGGTTATTTTTTTCACAGACTTGAAAGTCCAAATAATTTTGTTAAATACAAGCATAGAAGAATATTTTTGTTTGCGCGATTTTATAGCCAACATCGAGAAGAGTTCAGCGGCCTGTGACAGCATGACTTTCAAATAATCTTGAACATGGAAAATTATGTACGTTTGAAGAAAACAAAAAGATCAAACATTTGTACTGTTCAAAAGAAAAACTTATTCAAGGCAGTGTTTAAAATGAAGTCCTTCGACTTAATTTTTTAACACGATACATAAATGATATTTTCTTTCGCAAGCAGCTCGTATTGGTTTTAACAATCGATGAATGATTCTTTTATCTTACATAAAATAAATTGTACAATTCAAGTTAACGCATTGAGGGTTGCGGACTTTTTAACTTAACTTTCAACTGATTAAATAATTCTACTACACCCAACTCTGGATATATTCAGACGTGAGTCGACGCATTGATTAAGCAACACCTCCTTTAACTAATTCCCGCCGATACCTCGACATTACACCTTCAAAATCCCCGGTGGCTCAGTCCCGTCCGGAGTTGAGGAGCGAGTGTCTCTCAACTCCGTAAGCTGGGAGTAAGTTTGGGGGAGGAGTTGACCTAATCTCGCGATAAATAAACGACGTCACTGGCGCGTGCCTCTAATTCCCGGGTCGCCACCTTCCGGGGGGGGTGCTTGCAGCACGTGCAGAGCGCCGAGAACTCGCAGGGCGCGTCCGCCCGTGGCACCCTGCGCCGCAAGGAGCACAAGAAGATCCTCACCCACCACCTGCACTTCTGCATGAGGGACTTCGGCCACTCGGTCGGCGAGGACACCGAGATCTACTTCTCATTGTTCGACGCTAAACGGCTGCAGTACCTGAGCGAGCGCTTCCTCGTGCGCATCTCCAAGGAGGGCTTCTCCAACTACGTGGAGAAGATGCACAACAACTGCACCATCTTCACGGACCTCGGCAACTCCGATCTCAGCCGGGACCTCTACATGATCGCCCACGTGATGCGCTGCGGCCGCATGCTGTATTCCGACTCCGGCAAGAACAAGACCGGGACCGCGACTTACAGACGGCCCCACGGGGTCGCGGTGCTCTCCCTGGCGATGCTCTCCTTGACCGAGGCTGCGCAGGATCACGCGGAGGAGCACGAGGTGACGTTCAAGGTAAGAACGGACGAGGAGAGGAAATCGATCACGGGAGAAACGCGATATTGTCCGCAGGTGTACCAGGGCGACGAGAAGGAGTTTCACCAACTGCACGAGCAGATCATTCGCAACAACAAGTGCTCCCCGCTGCCCGGACAGCCCAATTACGGGATAGTGGTGTCCCTTCGTATTCTGCATGGCGAGTTGTCGCAGGTTCGGGAGGAGAATCCGTTGCTGTTCAAGAATATCTGCCTCACGAAGAAGCTCGGCTTCTCCGACGTCATTATGCCGGGCGACGTGCGCAACGATCTCTACCTCAAGTTGGAACGAGGTGAATTCGAGCGCGGCGGAAAGTCCACCGGCAAGAACATCGAGGTGCGTTCATTCTCATAGACGAGTCTCTTTCACACCAAGGTACAAATATATATTTTTACAGATTGAAACGTTACAGATTATAGTGAAACTTAATCAAAATCTTGCTCCCTCGCTGCGGTAGTCATGATTTAAGAACTATCGGGAATGAGAAAACGCATGCTCAAAATTCTCGCGAATTACCTCCGCGAAATGACACCTGTGATCGATCGGGCACATTTGTCAAATGTATTTCGAAAGTTTCCTTTTTAATGTACAAAGCTTGATGTATTATAATTACACGCAACACGATAATTTTATCCTCGAGGAATAATTACACATTTACACTTATTTTTTCTTAGAAGTAAGAATATTATCTTTGCAAAAGTGAGATTACTCATTTGAATTCTGTGGAAATAAAAATCAGGTGACCATCTTGGTTCTGGACGCGGATGGTCAACCCTTGGAGGGGTGTTTATTCGGGGCTGCGGGGATGGACGGTAATTCCGAATATCAGAGCTTGGTGATATATCATCACAACAGCCCGTCGTGGGCGGAAACCGTGAGACTGGCGATACCCATCGACAAGTTCTACGGGAGCCACGTGCGTTTCGAGTTTCGACACTGCTCGAGTAAGTTTCCGAATAGATGTGATATCGATCGAAACCCTTCACTTTTCTCCCGCCTTCCGTCCCTTCATCTATTCTCCATTCGGAAAAGCTTCTTGTCCATCCTCTCTCTCTCAATCGTGGTGGCGGTTTTTTCTTTTGCTTTTCAGCCCGCGAGAAGAACGACAAGAAACTCTTCTCCTTCGCGTTCGTACGGCTGATGGAGCCCGGAGGAGCTACCCTCCAGGACGGTCCTCACGAGCTCTACATTTACAAATGCGAGGAACGCGCGAAATTGGACTCGCTGAGTTACCTGTCGTTGCCGAGTGGCGCGAGGGAACCGAGCGCCTCAGGTAAACTCTCGTCGACCAAGGGGGGAAATTTATTCAAACGGATATAATAACGACCAGGCGCGAAAGATTCCCTACAAGCGCGTAATATTAAGTAATATATATTATTGAATAATATTACGCGCTTCAATGCGCGCGTAGGCGAGGATAGACGTCGCGAAAAGTCGATTATCCCTCTCCTCCCCCCGCAGGTCCGCCGGCCTTCTCCCGCTCGCCCAAGGAAGCGGTGTTCGTGCACACCTTGCTGTGCAGCACCAAGCTGACGCAGAACGTCGACCTGCTCAGCCTGCTGCAGTGGAAGGCCCACCCGGAACGGATCTCCGAGGCCCTCAGCCGCGTCCTTCGGCTGGACGGCGAGGAGCTGGTGAAATTCCTGCAGGACATCCTCGACGCACTGTTCTCCATGTTCCACACGGAGGACGGCAATTCGACGGCGCACTCGGGCCTCGTGTTCCAAGTGCTCGTCTCCATCTTCAGCCTGCTGGAGGACTCCAAGTTCGAACACTTCAAGCCGGTGATGGACGCCTACATCTCCGACCACTTCGCCGCCGCTCTGGTGTACAAGGGCCTGCTCAGCAGCGTGCAGCACTGCGCCGACTGGGTGACCGCCGCGGAGAAACAGGAGCCGATCATGAAGTGCTTCCGCTCGCTCGAGTACATCTTCAAGTTCATCATCCAGAGCCGGCTGTTGTTCGCCCGGGCGACCGCCGGCCAGTACGAGGACAGCTTCAAACGCGACCTGTACTGCGTGTTCGCCGCCTTAAACAAGATGCTCTGCATCCCGTATGAGATGGTGCTGCTGTCGCAGATCGCCCTGCTGCTGTCGATCGCAGCGGTGTTCGAGCAGCTGGTGGCGGTGCTGCCGGTCCTCGAGGTCGCCAAGCTCACCTGCACGATGCTGGACTCGGTGCCGCGGGAGTCGTCGCTCCAGCTCACGCAGGCCAAACTGGTGGCGATTAAGAACCTCACCTCGTCCAGCCTGTTCCGCGAGGACGACGAGAGCAGGAACCTGCTGCTCGTCACCATGTGCAAGCACCTGCGGCTGCACCTCGCCCGCCGGGAGGAGCTGCGCTCCTGCACCGACATCCTGGGCGAGATACTCAGCTTCCTGCACAAGCGCGGCCGGGACGCGAACAAGGTGAACAACTGCATCCACCACGACGTCGAGACCCTCTGCCTGTCCGTGCTCGACGTGCTCATACAGACCATACAGATCGTCGTCAAGACCAGCGGCCCGGTCCTCGGTTGCCTGGTGGCTTGCCTGATCGGGCTGCTCCAGCTGCTCGATGAGTATCACTACTCCCGACTCTGGGAGGAGTTGACGCACACCGGCGAGCGGAAGCCCCTCAAGGACTTCCTGCTGAAGGTTTTCGAGGTACTGGGCGAGCTCGTTCGCCAGGAGGTCTTCCCGCCTGATTGGCTGGTCATACGGATGCAGGCCAACAACGTTATCCTCAGGTCGCTGCAGGAACTCGCGCAGCCGCTCGCCTTCCGCTTCCTCCACGGCAGCTTCGACTCGCAGCTCTGGTCGACGTACTTCAACCTGGCGGTGGCTTACCTCACCCAGCCGTCCCTCCAGCTCGAGCAGTTCTCCGAGGTGAAGAGGGAGAAGATCGTGGAGAAGTACGGCGACATGAGGGTCCTGATGGGCTTCCAGATATTGTCCATGTGGTCGCACTTGGGCGAGCGCAAGTTGGAGTTCATACCCGGCATGGTCGGGCCCTTCCTCGAGGTCACCTTGGTGCCCGAGAGCGAGCTCCGCAAGGCGACTCTGCATATCTTCTTCGACATGATGGAGTGCGAGCAACGGACCCGTGGCAGCTTCAAGCTGGTGGAATCCGAGTTGATCGACAAGCTGGACATTCTTATCAGCGAGAACAAGGGTGACGACGAGTACAGGCAGCTGTTCAACACTATGTAAGTGTGTAGCTGATCGTCGTCAAATTTCCTCAGATAATTTCTCATGTCTCGATGCACATTTGTCATTTCATGCCGCCTCAGGGAACACCTTAGCGCCGTGTAAGTGTGACCTTTACAAACCTCATTTTTTTTCTCTTTTTTCGAGGATGTTTCAGGACGATAAAGAAGTTTGATTTGAGTCGGTGAAATTTTATTCGTTACTACTAAGGATTAATCGAGCGCAAAATCCTCTCGTAGGCTGTTTATTACGTTAACGATAAAAATATACTTGGGAAATTAAAATGTCAGATAAACGGAAAAGTTTTTGCCGATTTGAAGATGTTCCAAAATACATTTCTCATTATATCATTCATTCGTCGTTGACGGATTGAAACCAAACTACAATAAATTATATATTATTATTAAAAGCCTCCGATGAATTAGGTTGACCGACCTGTTATTAGCTCGGAGAAAGCAGCAAATCGATATCTTACCCACTTCGTCATCTTACCCTCCTTTCTATACAGCCTATGTAATATAAATAGCCTGCGAAAGGATTTTTCATGTCCGATTAATTCCTACGCCTGTAGTAACAAATAGAAAATCTTATCGACTTTTCGCAAGTTTAAACTTTCCCGTCCCCCCTTAACGCACGTTCGTTCGATCGTAATGTTTATCGTCGCGCACAGATTATTGGACAGGGTGCAGTCCGAGGACCCGGCCTGGAAGGACAGCGGAACCGCCTTCATAACGTCCATCACGCGCTTGTTGGAGAGACTCCTCGACTACAGGAGTGTCATCCAGGGTGACGAGAATCGCGACAAGCGTATGTCGTGCACCGTGAATCTCTTGGTGCGTGTTAAAGAGGGAATCTGGGACCGCACACACTCCAGCCACACATAACAGTATCTATACTATAAGTTACACCTCTCTCTCTGCCAACTTAGTTTGTGTTAATTAACTAGACCGTGTGACCGACACAGTGCGACGTACGCTCGCTGCATGTGTCCAGTAAATAACTGGTGGGCGGCATGCACGTTGTCGCTCCGTGCCCGACACTTAGCACGTCAGTTCGCGCTTCCCGGTGGAAATTTTACATCATCGTTTCTCTCTCTCTCTGACGGACTCTCGACTTGTCACTCGATCGTCGGCCATTCACACGAGTGCACATAAATAATATCTCCGAGTGACGATGGGGATACTGCTGCTCCTCTTGCAGAACTTCTACAAGAACGAGTTCAACCGGAAGGAGATGTATCTGCGCTACATCTACAAGCTGCACGACCTGCATCTGGCCGCTGAAAATTACACGGAGGCCGGTTTCACGATGAAGCTGTACGCCGATCAGCTGGACTGGGGCTCCACGATGCTGCCGCCCGATCACGCTCATCCCCAGCAGCCGGAGTGGCAGCGCAAGGAATTGCTCTATCACAAGATCATACATTATCTCGATCGCGGCAAGTGCTGGGAGAAGGGCATACCTCTGTGCAAGGAGCTCGCGGAGCTCTACGAGACCAGGCTGTACGATTACGCCAAGCTCAGCCACGTGTTGAAACTGCAGGCAACGTTTCTCGATAACATCCTGACGCAGCTGCGACCCGAGCCGGAGTACTTCCGCGTTGGCTTCTACGGTCTCAGCTTTCCGCTTTTCGTCAGGGTAAGTTTCTGGCCACAAATATTACGTTTGAAATGATTATTTGTTTTCTTTCTATCGCAGAACAAATTATTCATCTATCGTGGTCTGGAGTACGAGCGGATTGGAGCATTCACGCAACGGCTGCAGACCGAGTTTCCCTGCGCCCAGATACTGATGAAGAACTCCCCGCCGGACGAGAGCATCCTGACCTCCGAGGGTCAATGTAAGCGGGATCAAATATATCAACGCTCTTCCCTCGAAGTTAGAAGAGCTTCGTGTTGGTAGCTCTTTGGGTTCTGCTTCTTTTCGCTCCGTTTTGCAGACATTCAAATCTGCAACGTGAAGCCGATCCCCGAAGACGGCAGTCTCGCCGGTAGCGCTGCGGAGGTGCCGGAGCGCGTGGTCGCCTTTTATCTGGTGAACGACGTGCGCAGGTTCACGTTCGACCGACCGCTTCACCGGGGCCCGGTGGACCGCGAGAACGAGTTCAAGTCGCTCTGGATCGAGAGAACGACGCTGACGACGGAGGCACGGCTGCCGGGCATTCTGCGCTGGTTCGAGGTGATCGAGAAACGGTCCGAGTTACTGGCGCCGGTGCAGTACGCCTGTGAAACCATGCAGAGCGTGGAGAAAGAACTGAGGCGACTGGTCACTCAGTACAGAGCCGAGCCGCACCGGAACATCAACCCTTTCAGCATGAGACTGCAGGGTATCATCGACGCCAACGTGATGGGCGGCATCACCAAGTACCAGGAGGCCTTCCTCACGTCGGAGTTCGCTTGGCAGAATCCCGAAATGGTGCCTCACGTGAACCGACTGAAGGGCCTGATTCTGGATCAGATGAACGTCCTCGAGTCCGGCTTGGTGCTGCACGGCCAGATCGCGCCGGATGGCGTGCAGCCGCTTCACAAGAGGCTGATCGAGAGATTCACGCAGCTCAAGCAAGGTCTCGGACCTCTCGCCAGGCAGAGGACCATTCATCAAGATAGTATCGTCAAGTGAGTATAATAATTTTATATATATATTTAATTAGTTATCCTTTAAATTACTTTTTACCCAAAACCTTAATTATAATTATATATATATATGTATATTGTACTGTTGATTTTTTGAAAAACAGATGAATTCAAGTGCAATTTGTATCTCCTACACATTTCCGTTCTTTCAGCTCGCCACTGCCACCCCTGCCAATCAACGAGAAGCAGCGTCCAGCCACTCTGGAGACCGTCGGTTCTCGAGCGTCGCATGCTGACAGTGACGGTCTACCGGAGGACGAAGGCTTCTACACCAGAGTGGACGGCGCACCGCCGCCTATTCCTCAACGAGAGGTTCGGCCACGTTCCGTCGGTTACGGTTCCACACCACCGAGACCGACGCATCAGCGATCCCTGAGCAAACCGCTCAGTCCGAAACTGCCACTGAGGCATTCTCTGCCAACCCCAACCGACGGCGTAGACCAAAGCGGCCTCAGGAGTTCCTGGAGCGAGCCCGGGCCTGAGCCCGCACCGCCCTTGCCACCCCGAGGCTGCAGTAAGTTAATCCCTTCGTTCTTGCAATCGATTACCATTCTGTCGATAATATTATCATTACGGATCCGCGAAAGTTTTTTCCTTTTCCGACTGCATGGAAATAAAGTGATGGATTGCACGCGCATATTCGTGCTAAGGACAGGTGATGTTGAGGAAGAGGATCGACGTCGAGATAATGGATGAGAAAGTAATCGAATTTTGACGATCGATTACACTGTGAAAGCATTTGAAACGTTCAATTAGCCCGCAATCTTTTCGTGAAACGAATGCTCGATTCAGCGAACAGAATTGTTCGATCGAGATACGCGAAATGACAGAACATAAAATCTGAACTAGAACCCGAGAAAGCATATCCGCCAAGGAAGTATATCGCGGATCGTGCACGCAGCGCTTCTTGTTTCAGCTCCGGACAAGAGAGACGCGAACACAAACGCGAACACCGGGGTGCCGCCGGCGCCGCCGAAGCGTTTAGCGCACAAACGTAATACCGAATGGAGCACAGACGACGACTCCGAGAATACGCAGAACGAGCCGAACGATCTGCGCGACAGCGGCATCTCCACCGCCAGTCTGCTGGACTTTCAGTCGCACTTGACGAACCTGAACAACCTCGGCTACGAGGACTTTGAGCCGCGCTCCAGGTGCAACGATATCATGAACATCTCCCCGCCCTCTGTGATAAGCGCGCTAAATGTCTCCACTGGTAACTTCGTCAGCGGCACATTCCAGGGCTCGCATTCTCTTCCGGGCCAAGAGGTGAGGATCACAGGCATATAGGATTGTAAGAATTATAGGGATGCACAGGATGAGGCACGATAACTGTATTACCACCTGAAATATTTTCGCAAAATAAGAGTGTCAGTGCGTACAATTTCTATCGGAGATACATTCTTCTTCTACTCTCATATTTCGACGGTATTTCTGGTGGTAACAATAACTGGCTCACTCTCAGTAAAAGAATAAAAGTATGAGAATGTATCTTTCGCGGTGAAATTTAATCGATTACTTCGAGATCTGAGAAGACTGATTTTTTTCGCAGGTGAGCCCTCCACCAATTCCTCCCAAGGCCCACCAGGACACTCCTTCGGCCCCGTCGACCTTGGAGAGAGTGTCCAACCGGACGCAGAGTCACGGCCACTCGGAGAACTACTCCGTGCCGAAGATGCAGACGCTCTCCGTGGCGTCCGACACGGAGAGCACCGTGTAGCGACGATGTATCCCCCTAGTCCTTAGCGTTTAATCGTGATGTCTATGTGCCATGGCCGGACGCGAATCCTGTGTACTCGATTCGAGTCCAGTATCGGGCGGACTTTCTTAGACGGTAACTTAACATAAGCGTAAGAATGTCGTCATCATCATCGTCGTCGTCGTCGTCGTATCTAAGGGGAGGAGCGCGGAGACCTGTCGTTTATAGAAGGACATCCGCACGTCGCCCCGTACGTAGCTGGTAGCCATAAGCGAAACAAATCGAAAGCCGCAGATCCGACCCGAAATCGGATCCTTCCGAGAATCTAACACGATATGGATTGCACGCGTTGTATTCCCGGGGAAACAAAAGGTCATACGTGAAATTTGCCTATATATATGGCTGTATATAATCGTCCGTAACGAAAAAATACTGTTGTTTACAAATGATATGCAGATACAATCGAAGTAAAGTTTCCGGCTACTTGCGCTCCTGACAGCACGTGATATCGACATTTAATTAAATGGCATCAATTATTTTCCTATAGACATATATGATCATACATGTAACCACATATATGGGCAAGATTCATATATGATTTTATATAATTATATATGATCATATATAATCTTTTTTTTCTCGGGAATTCGTACCAGGGATAGGCGATGTTGGGAAAAACGAATCGACGTCCGGATCGGAAAAAGAAATCAAATTTTGATAATCAATTACATTCTAAAGGCATTTTAAATATTCATATTAATTTGTAATCTATTCGATATGTTAATAAGAGTTATATAAATAAGTTAGTGAAAAATAAATATGCACACTCAGGAACCACACGTTCACTATCGACGAGTTAATAGTAAAAACTACCACGACCGGATAAATTTGCTGCGTCAGAAATGGGCCCGTGGATAATTTGAGAACGACGACATCATCGACTGTCCATGATCATTCGATATAAACATTTCTATATTTAGCGTATAATTAATTTTACAATTTAAAATTATTTCTTAATATTCTGTAGGCATATGTGTACATATATAGCCCTACGATATATAAAAGTATATTATATATTCTTTTGTAAAACTGCATTTGTGTGCGGTTATCACATATGCTAATTTGACGCGAAATTCATCGACAGGGCAGATTGTTAGGGAAAAATGAAGGAATTTCGAAGAAATTCGCGTTGTCTACATCAAATCTCGTGAAATTGGCGGTCTTTACTATTACTTCGTACGTTGAGAATTATGTAATCGATAATGAGAAGAGCGTGAAGATAATCGTTCCTTTAACAGAAGAAGAGAATCGAACAACGATTCATCGGTCAAACATCGCCCAGCTCTAAGTCGTATTTTCGTGAAGAAAGAAATCGAGAGAGAGAGAAAGAGAGAAAGAGAGGGGAGGCGGAGGTAGGGGGTAGAAATGGACAGTAATAATCGCTCTTGAACACCGAGAACGTCCAATGAGATCATTCTCATCCCCGGGACGATTGGACACCGGATGCTTGGACGTGATCGGCGATCGAATCGCGATGACACATATATATATCTCGATTTTACGTTGGAAACGTCGCTCTTCCGAGCGTAACAATCTACACACACACACACGCTCAGATACATACACACGCGCGCACACACACACACATACACATTCTATATTTTGTAATTTATTTATATTTTCGATGAGAATAATAAAGGTAATTTTTATCAACAACGACACTGGCTGCAGACTGATGTGAGTTGAAGTAATGTTCGCCGTGACTCCCGTCGTCGAGTTGAGCGGTGCGGGGTGTGCAGAATAAAAGAGGAAAGCAAAAAAGCGAAAGCAAAGGAACGGACTCCGCTCTGAAGGGTATATAAATTATGTATTTCATTCTTTCTTTCGGCATACGAATATATATATATATATAAATATATACAAAAGTATATTAAAAAACCGCGCCGCGTAATTGTACGCTCCGACTTATACTATTTCTTCTTCTTCTTCTTCTTCTTCTTCTTATTCTTCTTCTCCTCCATGGCATGTAAAATAAAGAAAAAGATTGTAAACTTCTATAAAAAAAAAAAAAAAAGGAAATGGATGTAATGAAACCTAAAATTATACATATACAATATATATATATATAGAGAGAGAGGGAGAGAGAGATAGAGAGAAGAGAGACAGTGGAATGTATACATTGCACAATACTGAGCTTGAAAGGGAGAGAGAGAGAGAGAGAGAGAACTTAAGATGGAATGAGACTAATGAGATATGCGATAATGATTAGAGATCATTTTCGTTTTCCGTGCCTCCGTCACGTCATTGCCGTTACGCGACACAACGATCATCCACGAGATCGGAGATACGCGAATCGGAGCCGAGCGGCTGCCAAGTAAAAGTAACAACAAGCGCGAGTATATCGATATCGGGCCGATCGGTGTAATCGAAAAAAAAAAGAAACTCCGATAAACACTAACAACTGTAACGTTACAACAATGTTACAGTTTCCCGCTCAACAATGCAACTGTTATATACAACCATATGTTATATTGCACTTACATTGTGTCGAGTGAAAAATTGTAATATCGATATAAAATTATAATATCGATGTTACCGTCAGTTAGTGTTTACTGGGGAGTGCGGTGCTGAAACGAGGTGCGCAAGTCGACGATTCGTCAGGGAGATTTAAAGACGCGAAATCGGTCAATCGATACTTTACTGAGCTGTCAATGAGCTCCCATCTCGTGTTCTCACGCGCTACGCCACGTGAAAATCTCTTGATCGTTCGGATAACCAAACCTGCAGAAGCAAATTTTGCACGGTGTAAATTTTGCAGTCAGCTACCAGAAACACTACCGGATCTGCTGACAGAATATGACGACAGATTGACGATAGAAACCGAGTCTAAATCTGCCGTCGGCGATTGTGCCACGATAAGATCACCATCGATCTTCGCTTCGACAGATGTTAAATAAACAGTCACTACTTTTCTGTCGCTCGTTATCGGCTCGATCGTTCGAGAAATATTCCCGGTGTGACGTTTGCATCTTGTGTCGCGATTACTCCGATGGACTTCGCGTAATATGCGGTAATGTGAACAGGCACTCACACATACATGCTAATTAATATGGCTAAATATATAAGTACAGTCATGGCCGCTTCTTAAAATATATATATATGTATATCGATGATCGAGTCTTCATTGCGCGTGGACGCTTAAGCTAGACGTAAGCTAAATTACTTTGTACGTTGTTCTCGTTTGTGGCACGGAGCTCGTCAGACGGACGTTTCCGCATTAGTATCCTTCCTGAAAGCAATGACGACGATAACAGTGATTATTCGAAGCTATTAGCGTTGCTGAAGAACAGGCTGAATAATCGTCGTAGAGACAATCGTCTCACGAGTCTCAGTCTATTGTTCGTATTATCAGACGCACTTTAATTTTTTTACATTTCATTGACTTTCGAGGTCCAGCTTTGTAATACGGCTCGTCTATCGATTGAATTATGTTAAGTAACCGTTATTCTATAAAAAATATTTTTCATGACATTCCACTCGGCTACTTGAACGAGTTTTATTTTTGTGTGAAAAATATTAATATTGTTTACAAAAATTATGGATAAAACTCGACAACTCCGAAAGTTGCGGAAGTAAAAGCGCCGATCGACATCGAAAATTATTCTAATCGAGTAAACATGAAATTAGTAGCTTCTCTTCTAATCTGTATTTGATTAAATGCGTCTAATAATACGGCCAGGGACACGTACATCAAGAGCGATTTTCGCAAATAGTCTCGTCATGCTTACCTCCTCGCTGATGGGATTTAATGTCGTCAGTGTGTGTAAGCACGGATCACAGAAAAGATACAGTTATGTTAGAATGTTCCAACGCCACCTTTCGCGTACGGCAAGGAAAACCAAAGGAAACCAGAACGAATTAACGAGCGTTAGCGGAATCTGTGCTGTTTTGCTATGTGTCTTAAGCGTAGCTCGGTCTGTGCGAAAAGTTCGTAGACATTTTTTGATAAAAATACGTTCCCCCGCACATCACACCTGAGACCGTCTTAATATCCTACGGTTATTGCGGTATCCCAGAATGATGCCTGCAGGATACCCTTCAGATAAAATTACAGTTTTACGGAATTTCAGCGTTATATTAAGCGTATATCGTCAGTATATCGAGAGTGCATCTTCTTCAAAATGCTTTCATTACAAAACTATACATTTATTTCAACGTTTCTTCCATTTGGTGGAAACTTTTCTGGAACCCCTTAATTGTTAGTCCTTTTATTAAGGAAAAAAAAGAAAAAAAAAAAGAAACGTTCACGAACTTTTCATACAGATCACGTATGTTAGATCGCCGCCCACTTCTCTTTTGCATATTCTTTTTTATACATTGGATGTGTCGCGCCTTTGTCGATCGATTTTGTAAATTATTTTATACTTTGACGAACAGGACTGCAACACACTTCCCGAAAGTGATCGTTTATATAAAGGTTTCTATTTTTATTCAAACGTGAGACGATGCGTGTGGTATTTTATTCCCGCAATTTCCACCAACGACGATCACGCGACTTCGTTTTTCCTCGTGCACACAGATCATTTCGAGAGTGTTCGATTCTCCAAGTACATGAAATCCATCGTATATAAGAGCCCATGTCGAACCAAGCAAGCTTTCGAAAGTGCAAGTAATTCCTATAGTATGTCGATACGAAAGGATAAATCAGCCGTGATACTCACTCAGTCTCGGTGATAGTCTGCTCATATTGCTGCTGCTGCCTCAATGCCGCCAGCTCGTTGCTGTGCTGCAGGTCGTGGGTCAACGAGCTGGACAGTATTCTGCCGCTCATCGGCAAGATGTACTCCGGCGTGTCCTCCAATACCGTGGGCGTCATCTTGCCGCCGCGTTTCAGGCTGCCGTACCTCTCGGACCCGCTGAGGTTGTCGTGCTGAGAGCTGTGCAGGCTTTGGCCTCTCTTCAAGCTGCCGTAGCGCTCGGAGCCGCTGAGATTCTCACCGTGATTCGAGTTCTGCGAATGGTGGCTCATGCTGGACGCCAGGATGCGCGAGGACATGGACAGCATGTACGGAGTGGGCGAGACCGTATGGTCCTCCTCGGCGGTGTACGGGAACAGGTACTTCTCCGCCAGGTGGTGCACCTTCTCCTCACCCTCCGAGTAATTCTCGTCCGGCTGGCCCTTCTGCGGTGAGCTCATTTCCGGATACGGCAGCGGATTCGGACTGGACGTCTTATTCGACGCGTTGTCCGACATGGTGCCGCCGGACCATTGGCTGCCCCGCACGTCCATCACTGCGCAGTGTTAATGATTATTGTTGAGTTTTATCCCTATAAGTAATATTAAGCAATATTTCTGGAATATAAGAACATTCTTATAACATAAAAAAATATTGCATAACATTCTTAGAATGTTATAAGAATATTACTTTAATATTAATATAATATTCTAGGAATATTGCGCGCTTATAGGGTTTTCGGAAAAAGTAATGTGATCGAATTTATCAGTCTTACCGTTTGACGATAGATATGCTTCCGGCAGTTGCGAGCTCCATCGAGGAGCGTAAATGGGCTTGATATTAGGGAACAGCTCGGCGTTTGAGCAAAGTATGTTCAGGTGTTCGGCGGGATTGGTGTGAATGTTAGGCAGGTAGCTGTGGGCGACGTGTTGCTGCGTGGAGACGCCCATGTTTCTGTGCGACCTCGACGTGACGTCGTCCTCGTCGGAACTATGGGAACTGGCGAGGTCCAGGCTCCTGCCACCGCCTTCCGCTTGAGAGCCGTCCGAGTCTGATTCCGACTCTCTGCGCTGCCCCCTCGGCTCCGTAGATTCTATATGTTGTGACGATATGTTCTTGTACAAGTTATCGAAATTTATAGTGTTTTATCGTGAAATGTTCGCTAATTCTAATTCGAAAAAGGAGAGTTTCACACGAATAGCATGTAAATGAACCCGTTCGATAGACTTTGATAAGTTTTCTTCGCTTGTACCTTGTCGAGACTGTAGCGCCGACCTGTGGCTCCTCGACGACAGATATGGATCTCGATCGCTGTTGTAGTTGCTCGTGGACGTCGACGTGTGCCTCAAGTGCGTGTCGCTGCGATACGGGCTCGAGCCCGTCTTATTCGTACTCCTCGAGGTCGTGCTGCTCGTGGAGACGCCGACGTGGACTCTCCTGCACACGGACTCGGCGCCGCTGTAGGTCGAGGAGTAAGCCAAGGCTGAACGCTGAAACGCAATCGCATCCTCAATCTCATTTCACAAAACTAATGAAAATCGTGCATAAACATTCGAAATGAGATAACGTGAGAAGACCGGAAACAAATTACCGAGTGGCCATTTACGTTTTGACTGCTACTCCCGTTGCCCATGCTCCCCTCCAGCAGAGGCGTCTTCTTGCCGATACACCTCAGCAAGCTCTGATACAGGTTCCTTCTCACCCTGCCGTTGATGAAGCAGTAGCCGATCAGACTGAACGCCGCGTGGACCACGATGGCAACGCTCAGCAGGTACGAGAGCGTCGACGAGCTCTCGGACGCATTGAGGACCGCCAAGGTCCACGTTGAGCCCAACAGAGGCAACGACGCTACGGACAGCCAGAGGAGCGTTCGCAGATTACCGAAGCCCATAACGTGTTCCTTCAGAGTGAACGCTGCTCGGATGCACATGATGAGAATGCAAAAGTTCAGCAACACGGCCGCGCATACCGGTCCTATCAAGGACCAAATCACGGTCTCGTAGATCGACAGCCAGCAACTAGAAGATCGAGCGCAGTCGTGTGTCACATTTTCTAGTGTTTATTCTGACAACCCGTTTGATGATTAGACAGTAATAATATCAATTACTTTCAAGTATTGCGTCCCTATAAGCACGTAATAATCATATAATAATGTTAAATATCACTAAAAGTAGACCTACTTACTAAAAGTATCTATTGATATCGTAGAAATATTATGAAATAATATTACTGGAATATCATTAGAATATTAAATAATCAACTTACAAGTGAGAATTACTTTTAGCCAAGATCAATCGTTCGACTTACAAGTAGAAATTTCCATATTGATCAGCCCTGACGCCAATGGTGAGTCCGACGATAACAGCCGGCAGGCCGTATCCCATGGTATAGTAAAACCTCATTTGGCCGTGATTGACGTCTCTCATCTCCGTCAGCATGCGATAAAGGTGGACGGAGTCGACGAGGGTCCAGGCGAAAGTGCTCAGCCAGGAGTAATGCAGTCCTATCGCCGTCAGCTTGCACGGGAACTCGTTGGAAATGAGGGGATTTCTGGCTTTGAGTGCGATCAGGTACAGAGTCTCCGCGAGGAGGACGCACAGAACCAAGTTCTTGTGGATGCTGTTCGAATTAGTCCCTCCGCCGCGAATCAACGCGAGGATGAGGAGAGCGGACAGCAACAGCGGCAGGGCGAGCATGAAGGCGCTGTAACTGGTCACATCTTCCAGCAGGGAGGGCTCCGGGACGTATTCCAGGTCGAGGACGTCCGTCAGTATGGCGAAGGTGGACAGTTTCATGCAGGAGCAATTGACGATAGTGCCGAAGGACAGGGAACTGTCTTCGATTTCCGTCGTGCAGCCCATTCGGCTCCATTCGCCGACCCTGAGCCGTTAATCAAGTCGGATCTCTCAATTGTATTTCTTCTCAATCGATAATCGATTAGCTGTGAGAGAAGCCAATAGGAGATGGCGCTGGTAATCACTCGCGAAAATTGACAGTCTACAATCAATAGTTTTTACCACGGAGGAGGATCCTTTGTAGGTAAAATCATTGTTTTATTTCGCAATCGATTACCAGCGCTTATCTTCCAGCCTTCGCTCGCGATTATATTACTCGATTATATTCTTTTTGTAATTGATTAGGTTCCTCACCCCCTCGCTGTGCTCCAATGCACGCACTGCGGATTCGTTCTGGTCTTGAAATCGTCGTTCTCGTTCAACCAAAGTCTAACCTGGACCGGGGCCTGCAGGGGGATTCCCGTCAAGGACTCGTAACCGTTTTCCGATGGGACCAACACTGAGACGGTCATGACAGGTGAGCCGACTGCCACTTCCACGCCCCATCTAACCGTCACTGAATCGTCGAATCTACAGTGTGTGAAGCGTCATTGTTGAAATAATCAATCTTGAAGATCTGTCTGACGGAGGCGGAAAGATTGATGGAAAGGACGTTACGCACCTCTGCGGCAAGAGATTCCCTAGTTCTTTATATTGCACGTAACTTAACACAGCCTTTCGATTGGCGAGACTATTCTTCACATTCAGCTCGCCCTGCATAAGCGGTTTGATGCCCAGCGTGTTGAGCGGCACTTGGATCTTCGAGTGCGGATCGAATCTACTTGGGTCGGCCATGTAGTTGTTGTACTTGGGGAAACTGACGGACGGGCCGAAGTGCGTCGGGGAGCTGAGGAAGGCCGAGGTGTCGGGTAGAACGACCTTCCGATCGGCTTCCGAAGGCCTCGCCGTCGACAATGTGGGATCTTCTTTATATTCGGCGGTCTCGTAACCGAAGAGACTCTCCGACGTAACTACATCCAGACCTAACACTGTACCATTGATGTGACGGTTAGATTAATTCTCCTAACTATTCGTCGATTAACGGAATAGCTATTTTCAACTAAATCAAAAATAACCTACAGAATGCCGAGCAACTTACCAACGTTACCGTCGACAACTTCGAATGGGCTGGTGAAGGTATCGTGTTGAGAGGCCGTTAGAGTCTTGAGATACGTCGCCATAGCGTCCAGCACCTTATCGGGACTGTCTCCGTTAAGTTGCCCGATCTTATCCCACTTCTCCTTATACTTAAATCGAAATATCGCCCCGGCAATGCTGACCAGATGAGAAACGTAATCCTTGTCTTGACTGTGAGTGAGATTCAGCCCCACCAAGCTTTCCTCGTAACGCAGCAGCGCTACCAACAAGGATTCCGCCACCAGGAGGTCCGCACCGTACATCTCCCTGGTGACGTTCACCGCCCTGTGAACGTCCTTCGCCATCTTCACGGCCACGTAAGTGTTGAGCGTGAGGTCCTTAGCCTCTAAAGCCGCCAACTGATGCCGTTGCTCGACGAACGCCTCGGAGGTGCAATTGAAGAGGTCGGGCGGTTGCCAGCCGCCCAGCTTGTCGTCGCAGGACCTGCAAGTCTTACCCTCGGCGGTGCCGGGGCAGTCCTCGACGGCTGTCATCCCGAAGAGAGTCCTCGGCCACCAGAGGCCGTCCGAGTACGACCTGGGACAGCCGTCGTAGACTACTTCGCAGCCCCTCAGAGTCACCTGATGTATAGATAAAAAACACTCAGCGGAGAGAAGAAAAGTAGGCGCGGAGGAGACTGTCGAAAGGAGCAAACCTCGGCGTAAGGATTCGGGCAGTCGGTGCAGGATCGGCCGATCACTCCGGTGCGGCAACGGCACTGGCCGGTCTCGCCGTCGCAACGCGGCCCGAAGCTGCCGATGGCGTAGCACTCGCAAGGTATGCACTCCTTCAGCCCGGACGGTTGGTAGTGATTCTCCTTGCAGTAGCATTCGCCGGTGGTCTTGTTGCAGGCCGGGTCGTAGCCCTTGGACTCGTCGCAGTGACACGGCCCGCAAACGGGCGAGCCCCACCAGGTCGCCGGGCAGGGCTGGTCGGCCTTGACCTCGCAGTAGTCGCCGGAGTACTCCGGCGAGTTGCAGTCGCAACGGTATCCGCGTTTCGCATCGGCGTCCTCGACGCAGGCGCCGTTGCACGGCTCGAGCTCGCAGACGCGCTCGCAATTCCGGCCGACGCGACCGGCGGCGCAGACGCACTCGCTGGACCGCCACTTGGCCGCGCAAACGGACGCCTCCGGGCAGTCGGAGTCGCACTCGGACTCCGAGGTACAGCCGGTGCCGACGTTCTCCTGGACGGTCGGCCTCTGGAGGACGCTCTGGTTGCTGCCGATGCGCACGTCCTGCAGACAACCGTCGAAGAAGGGCAGCAGCAGCTCGCCGTTGGCCGGCTGATCGGGCCCGCCCACGAGGATCCTGCCGACGTAGAGACCCTGCAGCTTGGCCGGTAGCGGCAGGGTGACCGGCCGGTCGCGGTAGTCCGCGTCCAAGGACACGTGGCCGCTCTGCCAGAGGATCTCGAAGCGGTGCCACTCGCCGTCGGCGACGTTGCCGGCGGTGCGAATTACGTCGGCGCCGTCGAGCGAGGCGACCAGCCTGCCCTCCCGGATCTCCAGCAGGGCCGAGCTGTTCTGGCCGATCTGCACGCTCATCACGTACGCCTGCCGCGCTCGCGTTCGCAGACTGAGCGCCGTCAGCCAGGGGAGCTGGATCGGCCGCAGCAGCGGGTTGAAACTGAGCGTGCCGTCGCCGTGGAAGCTCCACGGCTTGCCGACCTCCTCCGAACACGTCGGCCCGGCGAAGTCGTCCTCGCATTCGCAGACGAAGCCGGACCAGACCTCGCGGCATCTGCCGTTGTTCCTGCAAGGCGAGGAGGAGCAGAAGGCGGCCTTCTCGGGGCAGCCGGCGTTGGTCCCGTTGTCCGCGACGAAGGAGTTCAGATCGACGAACGCGCGGTCGACGTAGAGGTCGCTGATGCAACCGACGTAATCCTTGTTTCTGATCTGAAAGCTGGACGGTATGGAGGGCAGGCCGCCGAGCTGCAACGGCCCGGTCAGGTCGAGGAACCTGTGACAGGTCTCGGTGACGAGTCCGCAGCGTTCCTCGAGGAGCCGCTGGCTCCTGCCGGCGCAGGCCCATCTCGGGCCCAGCCTCTCCCCGTGCTCGAGAGCGAGCGCGACGTCGCACTCGTCCAGGGACACGGTCGCCGTTCTGTTCACGTAGGAGACCTCGACCCGGTGCCAGCGGCCGTCCGACACTCCGCCGGGCACGCTCGCGGTCGCGCGAGTCACCTCGTCGCCGAGGGAGAAGCTGAACTGCACCCGGGAGTCGACGATCTCCAGGGCGACGAAGTCGTGACGTTCGTTGTACCTGCCGTTGTAGAGCAACAGCCCGTCCGGCAGCTCGGTGGCGAACCTCAGCCCGAGATGCAGCCGGTGGCGTTGCCTGAGGGAGGCGAAGGTGAGGAAGGTCGCCGGGCCGAAGCTGCGCGCTCTCAGCTCGCAGAGGGCGGTCACGCTGCCCCCCAGCGCGGTCATCGGGCAGCCTTCGCAGGTGAAGCCGCCCGAGTTCTTGGCGGTGCACCGGGAGCCGGCGCGGCACACGCCGGGCGAGGAGCAGCCGAGGCCGCGCTCCAGCGAGATCTCGCAGTTCTCGCCGGTGAAGTCCGGCGGGCAGGTGCAGGAGTAGCCGCCCTCCCGGCGGCGGCAGCTGCCGCCGTTCGCGCACGGGTTCGAGTAGCAGAGGTTCACCTCGGTGTCGCAGAGGTAGGCCTCGCGGCTGCCGGTGAAGCCGCGGGCGCACCTGCAGGCGAACGTGGTCACCGGGTAGATCGGCCGGAAGAGGACGGTGTCGCTGCTGGCGAAGCCGGAGGCGTTGCCGAACTTCAGCACCGTCAGGCACTCCTCGAAGTTCAGGCAGGGCTCCCGCACGCAGAGGTTGTCGTCGAACGGCAGGACGGTCACCGTCGCCAGTCTCGCGAGGATGCCGCGGTTCAGGTAGACCCGTTCCTGAAGGAACTGCGGAGTGTAGAACTCGTCGAGCGTGCCGGGCTCGACCCTCCTCGCGGAGAAGCTCACGTTCAGGATCTTGCCGTGGACGTTCGCGTCCTCCTGCACGCTGAAGAGGAAGATGTTGTCGCGCGGGCACGGAACGATCGCCGCCAGACCGTCGAGGAAGTATCCGAGGAGCGGGCTGAGGAAGGCCTCGACCGTCATGTCGTCCAGTCGGACGGTGATCGAGTTGAGCAGCATCTCGTCGGTGATCAGCCGCACCGACAGGGTCATCGCGGCCTTCGCCTCGTTCACGCCGTCGGTCACGGACACCTCCATGCTCGCCACCCGCGGCACGTTCGTGTTCAGCTGCGGCGACAGCCGGATCTCGCCGGAGGTCCTGTTCAGCTCGATCAGATTCGCGTTGTTGCCCGCGAGGATGCCGTAGACGAGATCGTCGGTGACGTCGGCGTCCGTCGCCGGTATACGGCCGATCGGCGCGGTCGGGAAGAAGTCCTTGAAGTTGTTGAAGATGATCTGGAAGTCCTTCAGCACCGGCGCGTTGTCGTTCACGTCGGTCACCAGGACCTGCACGAGGGCGTCCGAGCGCAGGGGCGGCGACGCCGCGCGCACCACCAGCTCGAATCTCTTCTTCGGCGACTCGTAGTCGAGCTCCTCCAGGGTGATCAGCTCCGCCCGGTCGGCGCCCTGCCTGACGTTCAGGGCGAAGCTGTTCGAGTCCTCGCCGCCGATGATGGAGTACTGCACCACCGCGTTCGGGCCCTCGTCCGGGTCGTGGGCGTAGATCTCGCCGACGGTCGAGCCGATCGGCGAGTTCTCCGCGATGTAGAGGACGATCTTGTCGTTCTCGAAGGTCGGCGGCGAGTCGTTGATGTCCTCGATCTTGATGAGGAGCGGCACGACGGAGGAGAGCGCCGGCGAGCCGCGGTCGATGGCGAGCGCCCTCAGGGAGTAGCGCGCCACGGACTCGCGGTCCAGCGACTTGGCGGTGCGGACGATGCCCGTGGTGGGCTCGATCGCGAACGCCCCGTCCCCGTCCTCCTGCAGAGCGTATCTCACCCGGCCGTTCAAGTCGGTGTCGGCGTCGCTCGCGGCGACCCTCAACACGCTGCTGCCCAGCAGCACGTCCTCGGGGATCGAGCCGTGGTACTGCGCCGCCTCGAACACCGGCGCGTTGTCGTTCACGTCCGTCACGGATATCTCGACGTCCGTGGTGTCGGACAACGGCGGCACGCCCCCGTCCCTCGCCGTCACCGTCAGCAGGTACGAGGGCACCAGTTCGCGATCGAGCGTTCGAGTGGTGGTGATCGCGCCGGTCTGCGGGTTGATCGCGAAGACCGCCTGTTCGTCGCTCGCCAGACTGTAGCTGATCTGCGCGTTCTTGCCGACGTCGGAGTCCGTGGCGCTGACCACCAGCACGGTCACGCCGATCGGCGCGTCCTCGAACACCGAGACCGAGTACGGCGCGTTCTCGAACACCGGCGAGAAGTTGTTCGCGTCCGACACGTTCACGTAGACGAGGGCGGTGTCGGTGCGCCCGCCGCTGTCGGACGCCGTCACCGTCAGCACGAACCGCTTCTCCTGCTTGTAGTCCAGCGGCTGCGCCACCGTGATGAGCCCGCGGCCGTTCTGCGAGGCTATCGAGAACCGTCCGCGCGTGTTGCCGCCCGTGATCTCGTAGTGGATCCTGGCGTCCTCGTCCGGATCGGTGGCCGTCACCGAGCTCACCGGCGTGCCCGGCGGGTCGTCCTCCGACACGACCGCCTCGTAGTTCTTCGGCTCGAAGTAAGGGTCGTTGTCGTTCACGTCCGTCACCGTCAGGATCACCGTCGCGCTCGCCGACTTGGCCTCCTCCCCGGAATCCGACGCGATCACCGTGAACTGATACCTGCAATCGAAGCGATCGCTTGTAATCGCGGTTCAAAAGCTACGTACGGGCGGCATACCTCGAGCACTGCTCGCGGTCGAGCTGCTTCGTCGTGTAGATCCAGCCGGTCTCGGCGTTCACCGTGATCGGGAAGTTCTCCGTGAAGGCGCCGGTGAAGTCGCGCGCGCCCACCGTGTAACGGATCAGCGCGTTGTCGCCCTCGTCGGCGTCGTAGGCCTGCACCCTCAGCACCGAGTAGCCCAGCGGCACGTTCTCCGAGACCGACTCCTGGAAGTGGCTGGTGTAGAACCTCGGCGCGTTGTCGTTCACGTCGCGGACCATCACCAGCAGCTGCGTCGTGTTGGAGCGGGCCGGCGAGCCGCCGTCCTGCGCGCGTATCACGATCTTGTAGCTCCTGGTGGACTCGTAGTCGAGCGGCTTCACCAGGGCGACGTCGCCGCTCATCGAGTCGATGGAGAAGCTGTTCTGCGTGTTGCCGCCGATTATCGCGTAGCGGACCGCCGCGTTCGCCCCGGCGTCCGCGTCCGTCGCCCGGATGCGCGCCACCACCGGGTTCCTCGTGTAGTCCAGGTCCTCCGGCACCGAGGCCGAGTACGTGCGCTCGCTGAACTGCGGGTAGTTGTCGTTGTCGTCCAGCACGCGCACCTCCAGCGTCGCGTTCGCGGTCTTGCGCGCCGACGCCGGCGTCGCCTGGTCCGTCACGCTCAGCACGACCGTGTACGCCGAGGTTCGCTCGCGGTCCAGGCCGGTCCGCGTCGTCACCACGCCGGATCTGTAAACCGGCAACGAACGATTCGCCTGCGAACTTCCCCCCATCTTCTCCGAACTGCTAACCTCGGGTCGATTCTGAAGATCGCCGCGTCCTCCGCCGTCGACGCGATCGAGTACTCCACCTCGGCGTTTCGACCGGTGTCTTGGTCCGTCGCCTTCACCGTCACCACCGTCGAGCCCACGGGGACGCCCTCGCGCACCGACGCGTCGTACTCGGCCCACTCGAAGCTGGGCGCGTGATCGTTCGCGTCCAACACGTTCACCTGGAGAGTGGTCGTGCCGGTGCGCGGAGGGAACGAATCGTCCACCGCCAGTACCTGTTGCAAAAATACCTTTTCTACATTACCGCGCTAAGTTTTCAAATTCTTTTCCAGGCTTGGATACACACGCGGAAATAGTGCACATCTACGTTCTCTCGGTCGAGTCTCGCGCGAGTCGTCACTCTCCCGGAGACCGGGTCGAGAGCCAGCAACGCCTGCGATCTCGCGTCTATCAGCGAGCTCATGGAGTAGCGGACCGCGCCGTTTTCAGGATCCCTCGCCCTCACCGAGGTCACGTACACGCCCGGCTCCTTCTCCTCCTCCACCGCGGCGACGTAGAGAGGCTGCTCGAAGTAGGGCGATTGGTTCTTCAGCTCCCGTCTCACCCTCCTGCCCAGGTCGGTGTCGTCCAGCTGACGGTGATGGAACACGATCTTCAGCCGGTGCTCGGCGTCGATCAGACGCGAGTCCCCGGCGCAACGCAGGTTCATGCTGACCGAGACCTTCCACAGCGGATCTACCAGGCACTGCTCGCTGGCGGAGACCAGGTCCCCGGCGGCGCCCTCCACGAGGAATCTGGGGTCGGCTACGCCTCCCCATCTGGTCTCGCATTCCTTCAGAGCTGTTTGAGGCAGGAAGTCGCGCAAGGCCGCCACCAGCTGAGACGCGCGCAGGCACACCTCGGTGAACCTGTCGACGTTCAAGCCCGAAAAAGTAAGAGTCAATTATAGTATTCGTTGGAATTGCGATCATCGACTAGCTCTTGTTACGTTTCACTTTTAGAAAGAAAGAATCCTTAAACGCGACTCAACCTGTCGGTACTCGGCATCGCGTAAGAAGCCAACGTCTCCGCCATCCAGCCTCTGGTGGCCGCCAAGTCGCGGTTCTCATTGCCGCATCCGATGATTAGGATCCTCAGGGGCAGGCTGTAGTAGTCGATGGTGGGCCTGCCGAGTCTCGAGCTCGTCGAGTCGACGTAGAAGGTGAAGATGCGCGGATACTGGAGGCCGTCGCAGCTGAGACTTCGCGCCAGAGTCACACGGCCCGTGTGCGGGTGAACCTTGAGGAGTTTCCGGGCGAACCAGGCGGTGCGCTCGCTGGACGCCTCGTACTTGCGACGGCCGCCCAACTGCGGCACCCCGGCCTCGAAGACGACGGTGCCGGCGGGCGTGTTGGACGACAGCACCGCCAAATAGCCGTCGCTCAGCGTCCAAACAGTCGCCAGGATCAGCAGCACCCATCTCCACTTCGCCATGGTCTCTCTCTCTCTCGGTTAATCCGCGCGATCCTGCAGTCCGTGCTGTTCTCTTCCCGACGTCTGTCCCACCATGGTCATCTGCTATCGCGAATTTAAGCACTCGCGACGTTAGGATCCATCTGGAAAAAGATTCATCGGTCTTTGGATTATTTGAGATTATCGTGGAATCAATTCGGATTGTTACACTTCGTTGGAGCGGCCGCATCAATATCACGGGAGAGAGAGAAGCGATGGTAATCGCGAGCAGCGCGACTGATCCGCGGACTTTTTCTCACTCCAGCCGGAGGGACAGGTCGCGTCCGGACGAGGCGCGACGAGTGTATAAAAGGACGTAAGGAGACGTCTCGTTCTTTCGCCTTATTCCGCACGATTTAATCACTCTCGTCGTCGCAGCCGCAGCTGAGCAACTACAATTGTCGAGTTTTCGAGAACCACGGGCGCTTCCCCTCGGTGAGGTGGTACGACCTTCCCTCGCCCTGTGGTCGGCGCAAAACGTGGGAAGCAAACTATTTCCGGCCGGTGTGCGCGCGCGAAGACACGTGAGATTCATTGACCTCTCTCGTGCATACTCATTGCCGCGCTGCGATTCGCGCACCTACGAGCGCGCGTATCACTTCTCGAACGGCCGCTCGACTTCCACGCGCGCGATCTTGAGAAATTGCTTGAGCAACGGAACCGCGCGTATCGAGAAAGAGAGCAAGCTCATGAAACTTCCGTTGATCGGGATATATGGTGGATGACCGTTAATTCTCGGTTAGTTGGCTAACTGGTGTATTTTTTATTAATTGAGCGTCGTGCACGGCGTGAAAAACGAAGTTGGACGCGAGCATATCGCTTCGCCCGTGCGTCCTTGACATCCAACTTCGGCTAACAATGGCGAGTCTGCTATGCAGGAATGCGACGTCCTGCGAGGAGTTACGCTCGGAGAGAAAGACCGCGATCTTTATCCGCTTTGTTCAAATTCTTACGCGTTCCTTTTCACGCTGAGAGAAAAATATTGTTATTTTCGGGGACAACATATTCTCTCTTTTTTTTTTTCCGTTTCAACCACAAAAATAGCCGAGAGAACTACTCGCCAGCAGCTACTTCCTATTTGGAAGTTATTATTATTATCTTCCTTTCATTTCTTCCCGGTCTGAAGTCTCCTCATTGAAGGCTCGTGAGAAAAAAGAAAGGGGGGGGAAAAAATGAGGAACGAAAGATATAGAGATGTCGAGCGACGCGTATAATCCTCGCCAAGTGTTTCCGGGTTGTCATTTGTAAAATTCGCCGAGCGAGCGGCCGTGGCGCAATCGAGACGGTCGTTCTCGGCTTTCTCTCTCTCTCATTTCCACCCACACGATCGCGCCCGGTGATTTCGGTCGCCTCGCCTCCGATAAAACTGGATCCGTGCGCATCGAAGATGGGCCGACGCGCACCTCGATATCTGGCCGAGCGCGCCGGCTTCTCCGCTCTCGTATACCTGTCGTAGATAGCGCGGAATTCGATTTAACACCTCCGGTGATTCTGCCAGCCGATATCCCGGACTTTCTAGAGAAATAACTGTAAAATCCGCGCCGTCCACGGCCGGGCGATCGCGAAACACGCGTACACGCATCGTCGACGAAAGCGAGCGGAAAAATTGGGTATGGCTCGAGAATGCCGTTAGAATTTCGACTCGCCGAGAGACGTCTTAATCGGAGTCACGACGACGTGAGATTTTCGGGTCGAGAGAGCGGGAAAGCGGCAGCTTCATCGTCTGTGCGATACACTCGGTCAGTTGATTTATGTAGTTATAGTGTTTGCCGGTATCTAGATAAAATTATGTAAATAATCATCCAGATGAACAAATAGATCATGTTTATCCAGATGGAAGAAATAGAAAATGTATTCACCTTCGTCTTAGATAACGAAACATGTTATGTCACCTAAAAATGATCATCTGAGGCAAACGTGGTAATTTACGTTTCGAGAGACTCGATTCGATCGCGTGTCTCGATCCATGATTAGGTAACAAGCATCCGCAACGATCTCGGCAACACAAACCGCATCCTCCGAATCGATTTGCTCAGCCGATGTTAACACGGTGACTGCGAGCGCAACTCGGGGAACGACGATTTGTCAGCTAATCGATTATCTTCCAGAGTGCGAGAGCGACTGTTCGAGGAGAGCGCACTTTTGAAATCGCTGCGTGACAAGGATGATCGGACGCACGGCAGGAGTCACGAACCTGAAGAAAACTCGCGCTCGTGTAAACGATGGATATGGATATTCGATAACAAGTTTGCGTATTCGACAAATTATCCCGTCGAGGCAGGAACCATGGAGGTTGATTCAAGACTCACGAGAGAACAAGCGTTCTCGCAGGTAACATTGAGACATATATTCAATAACAAGTTTGCATGTTGATCCTTGGTAAATTATCCCAGCGAATTAATTCATGACTCACGAAAGTGAGAAAAATCCTTTCGTGAGGAAACGCTCGTACAGGTAACATTGAGAAGGATATTCAACGAGTCGACCTGTCCCCGACGACGAATTATCCCGCGAGTTGATTGGAGACTCACGAACGTGAAGAAGCGCCCTGGTGGAAAAACGCTCGCTACGAGGTACAACATCGAAGCGGATATTCAACAACAAGTTTGCACGTTAATCCCTCGACCATGAATTATCCCGGTGAGTTGCTTTTAAACTCACGAACGTGAAGAAGATGCCCCCGATGAAAAAGTGCTCGCGCAAGTAGCTGGATACTCAACGAGTCCGCGCGACGAATTATCTCGGCGATCGGGTTGATTAACCGCCGGTGTCTCAGGTGTCAACCCGATATCGACGTCGACACCGTCGATCAATCTCTCTATCGAGGCGCCATTAGATCCGTACGCGAATATTCAAATGGCGAATCGCCTCGGTGTAGTCAGCGACTATCGCGCGCGCGTGCGCGTCCGACCGGTCGGGAAACTTTAGTCCGCGACAACGCTCGCTCGCTCGCGCGCTGCATAGGCGCATGCACACGGAGAAGAAGGTTCCTTTGGATTTAGCATTTCTATTTACTTGAATAAGATTTGTCTCATAGAAACAATATAGACGAAATATTATTTGTTCGGAACGATATCTCTTAACCAAGCGAAATATTACTTGGTCACAATAAATATGTAAAATGAAACAAATAATTCCTCTACAAGAAAATGATCCTTCGAGGAAATTCTTGATTTTGGGTAGAGATACATGTTCGTTGAAGGGTCTAGCAATCGTACTTGTTAATCGAAACATTAGTTTCTTCGGGGGCAATGCGAATGATGAAATTTGAAGAAATCTTTTTCTCAGTGCTGCAGCGCTCTCGGTAGCGGCAGCAACGGTCCGCGAGATTATTCCGCTCGGCCGCCGCCGAGATCGCGGCGACTAGCTGACCGTGCCGAGAGCGCGAGATAGCCCGATACTTACCTCGGTAAGTCAGCCTCCGATCGTCCTCCTCGTCGCCCGAGGGCCCGAGGAACCGATCCGGTTCTCGCCGATCCTCACGACCGGCGCGCACGAACCAATCGAAGCTACGCCGGGCCCCCGCGGCGCGACGCTTACAGACCATCCTCAGAAAACGAGATGAAGAAACGGACGGACGACGAACGTGAAACGGTTGCGTAGACCGTTGATCCGCGTCGATGCGCGCGATGCGATACATTTTCCACCCCCCCGAGAAATCGATTGCTTCTTTTTCTCTCTCTCTCTCTTTCTCTCCCGGACCTCAGCCTCGTTACCTGAGCGAAACCTTTGTTTGGTCAGAGATAAAATCATCAACAATGTATGAAGAGTGATTAAGATGATGCGAAAGAAAGAAAAAGTCATTTGTTATCCTTCTTCATTATTTTTCGCAGTGAAATTTTGACTGATGGAAACAGTCGCGCTGCTATTAACGCGACTTTTTCAACGACGCTTCGCTCATTTGCGGTGTTATATTTATAATCATAATCATCGATGACTGTCGACCGTTTCTCAGTAATAATATACTGATTGTACTTTAGAAAGTAACATCTCTGAAAAAAAAAATATACACATATATATATGTGTGTGTGTGTGTCGCATTGACGAGTCTAATAACTATGTTTTCTTCTCAGTGCAAGACGTAGAGTTAAGAATGTAGGCCCGGAAGAAAGAGTTTTAGGGTCAAAAAGGTCGCGCCGGCGCAAATTCGATCCAGTGAAACGGTCGTTGCGCGCAATAATTCGTGTCCAATTATTCCATATACGCACGATATCAGCGCTGAGTGGTTGCAATAAAAAGAGAGAGAGAGAGAAAAAGGAAGACAAGGAAATGTAGAGCGTAACAAGAGAAAGGAGGAGAAACCGTGGCATTATGAGCGTCGTCCGCCTAGATTACACGTTATCTGTGCAAGAAACGACAATTCGCTGGTTGAATCATTCTTGTTCAGGCACCGTGCGGCAATTTGAGCGCACGGGTACCTTAAATTTTCCGAACGCCTCGCGATCGTCTCAAGCGGAGTTCGCGTTTCAGTCCCCCCCACCTCGATCGTTATCTTCGTGAGATATCGAAGAATGGAAATTTCTCGCGGAGAAGCACACGCTCGCGAGAGCGAGTGATTCCTCGACGCGTCGTTTTCCGTGCAACAGATATTTTTGCCGCCGCTGTATCAAGAAATAATTTGCCGTTCCAGCGAAACATTTTCTCTCCGTGTTGAACGTACGACTGAAATTTCGACTCGAATAGTTAGAGGACGGAGGCCGAGCGTGAAGCGTAAGCGTGCGAGAGAATCGCCGTTCAAAGAATTATTTCCACCACAAGGGCCACCCTTTCTCGAAGGGCGCACTATTTCGCTGTCAAATGAAGCAGACCGGACCCACTGGGCGAAACTATTAATTATTCCGAGCGGAGCTTAACTCGTCGTGGAATCCGGTCCTACCAATTATCTCGCGCGGGCACGTCTTCTCGTGCGAACGGGCCCTTTCTGGGCCCCCAGAATGCCGATGCCGTCGTACGCCGTAGCCGCGCGGTGTTTCGAAGAAGAGACCCGAGCCTGTTATCTCGAACGAGTCTCTCGGGAGAAGTGATGTCCCTCGATGAAGACATAGAAACGGCCGTTCCTCCGGACGTTTCCGCGATTATCCAGTCATCGACGGCCGACGGATTCGTGGCCTCCAAAGATTTCGTCATCGTTTTTTAATCAGCTTCCTATGGGGCTCTCCGGTAACGGCCGGACTTTTACCGCGGTACGCTTTCAGAGCCGAAGTAGGATTAAACTATCAATCTCTGACATTCTGAATTCCATTGAAGAAGTTGCACACGCTCGGAGAGATCTTACCGAGGTCTTAGAAACTCCGAAGAGCGAAGCTTCGCCAACGATTCTCTCTCTCGCGCTTATGAACTATTAATCTCCGACATTCCGGAATTCAATTCAAGCAGTTAGCGCAGGCACGTTGAGTTCCCACCGAGCTCTTTACCAGCTTGCATGAGAATGTTTTAACGTCGTTTCAAGTGTAACGTGAAATCTTATTACGAGAAAGTAAAAATCTCCCGCTCGAACGGCCTAAGAATTAGAAGGAAGGAGAAAGAAGAAAAACATGCACGGATGACGACGTCTCATCCTCTAAACCACCACCCTATACGGCAGCAGGGAACCCCACAAGCTCGTCATTAGATTGCCGAGGAGGCTCGTTGCGTCCGCAGATTCCGTTACGGCTTTGCAGTCGGACAATCCCCGGGAAAACTCGAAGGCACACATCACAGATTTATGGATCGACCGACGTTCGCTGCCGAAGAATGCGACGCGGAAGAAGCAGACGCACGTAGCGCGCGCGTGTACGTTATAGAAACGTGACGTCTTCCGCGGCGTAGGAACAACCTGCCTGCCTGCGTACGCGCGGTTTCGCATACCACCGATGCGTTTCTCGATTAACGTATTCTCTCTTTTTCTCTTTCTCGCGGACCGGCCGGAATACGAAACACGCCTTCCGGAATTTCGTCAAGCGAGATCCCTAAGTAATACCTTCCCGAAGACGGCCGTATCTCATTACGATTACGTACGTACGCGGAGAGAGAGAGAGAGAGAGAGAGGTGGATCGCTAAGAATCGGCCCGGTGATTATTTCGAGGAAGAAAAAGAGCGGGACGGACGGACGAACTCTCTGATGAATCGCCAGAGGCGTCCTCCTCCCGACCGGTGTCAGCGACTCTCCCTCTTCTTCTTCGTCATCGTCGTCATCATCCTCCTTATCCTCGTTCTTCCATCGACTTTCTTCTGGCAACCACCACGATGAACGCGAGGGACGGCCGGCGCGCGGCTATTACAATAACCGGTGTACGCGGTGGTTCCGCTCAAGGTCGCGGCGAAGAGAGCGTTCGAGGAGGTGACTCGAGCCGACGGGGATCTCCGTTCTTTCGAGCGTCCTCTCGGAGCGAGTTACGTGCCACGACACGTAGTTCTTTGAATTTTCTTCACTTGCAAAATATAGGAAGAACAAGCAAACCCTCTTCCTCGGAACGTCGGGTGTGTCCCGAGCCTGGACTTGGCAAATTTCGAACGCGAGCTACGTAAACGAATCCCCGGTCGTTCGTTGAGACGTGATTTGGTTGGATGGTCACCCGCGTTGAATCGAGTTTTGTCCGAAAATGTTCAAACCCATTGAGCGTTCCGCTCCGCGAGGTCTCGCGGCGATACGACCTCTCCGGCGTGCGAACGACACGTCGGAGAGGAAGTTCGAGAATCGCCGGCCGGATGGAACGATCGTGAGCCGATGACGAGCTCTCTCACGATGATGCTGATAAAGAAAGACGCGTTTTACAATCGGTCTGCGTGGGCAGTTTATATCGTCGGATAATCACGCCCGGGAACGAATCCCCCGGATTATCTCGGTTATCTGAACTACCGGCATGTTCTCGGTTACGAGTTCTTCGGCGACGGCAACCGGATTATGAAACATTCAGATTCACTTAACGGCTTCGGCTGACAGCCTCGACGACTAGATTTTCTAGCGACGCGCGTCCCGCGGCGAGTTAACTCGCTGACGCTGCTCGGGGAAATAGGGGCCGAAGAAAGGAGCGCGAGTTCCCGCGCTGCATTCTTTCACGACACGACGCGCGAGATGCGATTTGCGGTGAAATCTCTTTATTCCGGCGGCGCACCACAATGCGCACCGTTACGCGCGAAACGCATATTCGCGTAACGGTAAGGTCGAAAAGGGAGGAGAGAGCGACGAGGTGGTAGATATCCCGCATAGCTAGGAAATAGGCTTGTCATCGGATTCACCCGAAGAGAGAGAGAGAGAGAGAGTGCACGCTGCTCCGATCGGAATCGATTCGACGCGATCGCGACCGTTTTTGCCGCGAACGATATGCCGCCTCGGTCCGGAAAGTGTTTAACGATGCCTTACTTCACGAGGAGGCTGGCAAAATTTCATTTATTCAGGGAGAAATGGAGCGCTATTTTCATAGTTAAAATAAAATAAAGGCTATCGTTGTCCCCGAAGACAACTATATTTTTCTCTCGGCGAGGAAACTGGTTTTTCACGACGAATAGCTCACAAGGAAAGTTTGATGGCCCTTGAGTATCTCGATGTGATCTCGCGGCCCGCCGAAAACACCGAGGAGTTTTCAAAGCGGCTTCGGTATCGATGGGCGAAAGCGGGTAGGCGAGATGCGGATAAGAGTAACCACGGAAGAACGCTCAATTTTATGGAACCTGTTCCCACCGCGCGTCCGTCGCGCGCGCGCGCGCGCGAACGGGTTTACTTAAGCGCGTACGCGCGTACACGCTTCACGCTCCTGCGGACTCGCGTAAATTAACGTCTCAACGGGCCGCTCGAGCGGGAAATCCGAAAATCCAAGAGTGTCTTAATTAAAGACGACGCGTCTCGCCGTAAGCGCGCGCGCGACGGATCGATCCGCACCGGTCACGCGACGGAATTCACTACGGGGGATGAGAGGGTGGATTTTCACTCGAGAGCGATACAGCGAGGCCGAAGACAAGTCCTCGATGCGGATGACGATATTTCTGCCGCGCTGGAAACGTTCGTTTAAGTGAAATTGTAAATTACATGCATCCCCCTTTCTCCGAAAAATATCGAAATACAATGTTGAAAGTGAAAAAAATGTATCTCTGAACGTAAGGTAATTTTTAGGAGGATTTGCGGTCAAGATCGCGTCTGCAAGAATCGACGAGTTGAACAGACCATATTTATACCACGTTGAAGACATCCGATCGAATCAAATTAAACCTAACACATCTCACTTTCCTCTGGGAAAATATAAATATGCGATATTCATTGTAAAGAAATGTTACATACGAACGTTGGACGATTTTTGGAAGGACGCACGGTCGAAGATAAAGCGAGAGCGAGCTCGCGTCCGCAAGAATCGACGAAACTTTCGTAACTCGAGGGCTGCTGCACGTCGGACACGATGCGGAAAAAGGGGGCGAAAGAGAGGTCAGCAGCCCCCTTTCGCTTGTTTTCTGTCTCTCTCTCTCTCTCAGGGGTGAGTGACTCACGTTCCGCAGTCTCGACGCTGTTCGTCGGGACGCCTACCCTCCAAATATTGATTCGCTCGCTCGAGGAACGCACGCGTCGCAACGCGTGCCGTGTCGAAGGCTTACGCTTTACGTAGGGTCGGTCCTTCGTTTTAGGTCTTCCCCCGGGTCGAATGGCCCTCGAGACTTCTAGTCTCGATATCTCCTCCTTATACGCAGGACGAAATAGGCACGATAGGTTTCACGAAAATGTTTCCTTTTCGAAATTAAAGGTGTTTCGATAAGGTAAAAATGAATTTACAACTCTGCCGGATAAACGCGAGATCCACGCCTGGATTTTTAAAGCGACGAAGCTCACCAATTATAGATTCATCTTATTCTCGCTTCGGAGACTTTGTCACTCCTCATAAATATTCATATAAGATAAAAGAAGAAAAAAATTCACTTTCACATTTGTTTTCATATTTTATATCTTACGAGAATTTCCTCATCGCTTATCCCTCGCTGATCTAAATAGCCCAGCGCTTATCGCGTTTCGCTACGGGCCGCTTCAAGTCCGACGTGTCATCATCGATTGACAGGTCGCTCGCGCGCGTTTTCCCCGCCCGCGTGGAAAACTTACGCGCGGGAATTTACCGCGTTAACGAGCGGGAGTTCGTTAACACCGGTACCGGGATGGTATCAATTACAAAGGTCGCTTTTCTCGTGAGAAAACGCCAACGAGGCAGCCGAGGGGAGCAGTGGAAGAAGAAGGAGAGGAGGAGGAGGAAGACGAAGAAGCCTCGCACACGAGGCGTGCTCGAGGCGGCCGAGGAGGAAGAAGAAGAAGCGCGACGTCGCCGAGGTCACTCACCATCCCGCCAAGGTCGCCGTTGGATCTTCCGTCACATCTTCTTCGTCAATGTCACAATGCGAATCTCCACTGTGGTTTATTGGACGCACGCGGTGATCGGAGGATCGCGCGAAAGCCGAAACGGAAAACTCGCACCGAGCACGACGCGCACGACGATGCACCGCTTCACGTCGGCGTCGCGACTGCCGCCGCCGCACCACTACCGTCGCCGCTCGCTCGCTCGTTCGCCTCCACACGTGCGCGTCCGTTCCCTCGGCCCCACACGTGAGCGCGAGAGGTCGCACGGCGCGTGTGCATGCACTCACACCTGCGTACGGTAAAGTGACGTAGTGGAAATCGCCGGGACCCTCGACCGAATGACGGCACCTTTACTTTCCGTTTTTATTTACACACACACATACGCGCGCGATTTTCGTCTACATCGGTGTAACTCTGAATCCCAAGTTCGTTATAATTAAATTTAGAGGAAAACCGATACACCATTTCGTTTTTATGTTCCACAGTTCCGTTCCGAAGGCGTGGAATTAAAATTGCGCACGGATGAAAAATCAGCGACATTTTTCTATCGAAATATATGATCCCAAGGTAGCAAGGTGACGTCAAATGACCTCTTGATAGTGTCTTAATAGCAGGTTTGTTACTTTAATTTTCACAAGAAGATAATTTGACAAAAATGTAATTTTAGCGCTTTTTCATTTCATTCTTTGCTGAACACGAGATGCGAAACTGATTGGAAGAAAAGTGTTGCGATCTTCAATCTGTCGTGACATGAAGCATTTTTTCAGGCCCCGGATTAGCAACGGTCCTGGCCGTACGTTCATTCAGTCGCACGTGTGTGCGTGCATGAGTGCGTGCGTACTTACGCGACGCGACGTAAGGTAACCGGTGGAAGACGGACTACCTGTTCGGCCGGGCCGGGATCATCAGTGAAACTCCGCGGCGAGATGAAGATAGTGTCAAGTGGAAAGAACAAAGTTCCCCGAGTGTTCGGGGCCGCAAATTGGAACGACCAGGTGTGTTTTCACGATCAGTGTGGGACGATCGTGTGGAAAAATACGAGCGTGGCGAGCGAAGGAAGAGAAAAATTTCGCGGAGATGAAATTTCGACCTGTACTTCCTCGACACCCTTTATAAGACAGCTCTTTTACCTGTGCGTGTATGTGTGAGTGAAGGCGCACCTGCCGTCGATTTCGGTTGACTTTTCAAACATGCGCGTCGACCTCGCCGAAAGTTTTCAGCTCGGAACGCGAGAGCGATTTTGCTTGATTTGATTTTACAATTTAATAATATCGACCGGAAAAGAATACGCTGAGATCCGCGAGAACGTAGTCGGCGACCTGGCTTCGAATCGCACAGGGATTAACACGAGTCACAATTTGAAGGGGAAAGGCGCCGCCCGAGCCATCTGCTTTCAGGTTGGCGCGTCGGCGCAGAGAGTGCGCCAGCTCGCGGATGGCCTCCCGGTGTGAGCTTTACCTACACAGAGAAAAAGATCCCTATAGATTTAGTATTTCTATTTATTTGACCAAAATGTGTTTCATAGAAACAACGTATACTTGTGCGAAATATTGTTCGAGTAAAAATGGTCTCATTCAAGAAAATCCTATCATTTGATAGAGAGAACAAGATCCATTTGTTTCGATAAATCTCGATCGCACACATGTTCGCCCCGCTACGTACGCACGCACATCCGTACATACAGTCAGCTTCGTGTACAATTATTTGGACGGAGAGTTACACGATTTCCAATTTCACACATAATGCATAAGATTGAAAATCGCAGAAGTAATTCTAATTATAACGGTACGGTGTAATTACAAGGAACACCTAATTATAATAATTTCGACCTTGCGTGTACACGTGAAAGGCGGGAAATTGCGTAATAGTAAACATTTCAATCCAAAATGGAATGGCATGACATACACGACGCCGACTTCATCATCATCGATCCTTATTGATTGTCAACACGTGTTGCCGGCTCGGCACGATTTGCTCTTTCCTCGATCAAGGGCGGTCCGGTTGCCTCAATTTACCGATGGCCGGCTTATCGAGAGCCGGAGAACCGGAATGACGTCGCTCATGAATATCACGAGCGAAACAAGATACAGTCGACGAACCGCGCGAAGTTAATTTATTATCGACTAACGAAATAATGTCCGTGGAAGATCGGCGATTAAGAGGTAATTTGTGCGGACGACCGCTTTATACCCGTGAATAATATTGCTTCGAATGGAGCGAATGGACCGTTGCCAGCAAAGCCGTCGTCGTCTCGGCGAGGAATCCTCTCGTCCGAAATGTGTAATCCGCAACTGTCCCGAGCTGCATTGCGTGAATCGGTGTCGCGGGATAGATGCCGCTTACACGATAAACAAATTGCGAGAACTCGTGTCGGATCCCGTCAGCAGCGACCATGTCCCACGAATATCGCAACTGCTGTGCGATTATCTCCGCGAGATCGGCGACGGGGGTTATGTATCCTTTTTTGATTTGCGAGCGTCGAACTTCCGAAATCTTTCGAGTCACAGGTCGTCGAGATTCCTTGACTCTGTTAAGCGATGAAAAACAAGAAAATGAAAAGCACGCTCTTCCTCAAAAGATCAATCCGATATTAAACTATATCCTGAGAGAAAAATATTTATTTGGGGGGTACTAATAATATATTTGCTTAAATCTCTCTCTAAATTCTTTTATTTAAACACGCCAAAGAGCCAATTGAAAACGTATGCTCCCGACTTTCTTCTAAGCGCTTAATTCCTTAAAGACCCGTCCAGCCGTTGAAACACCTGCCGGCCGTGATGAGCGTGCTGGAGTTTCTCGCTTGGGAGACTCGAGGAGTCGAGGAATACCGGGCGTATCTGGACCGAATGTTGCAGTTGTGCGCTCGGCCACCTTTGTTGGAGCGATCTTCCGACGACGATCTGATCATAATGGAGCAATATTTCACGTTGCTGGGCTACCTTTTGGCGATCCTGCCGAGGGAAGAGCAGATCCAGCGGGTGCGCGACGCCCTCGACTGTTTGTTAATCGGACGAGCCGGGCCGGTGAGCGTCGCGGCGGTAAAGCTGGACTTTCGCCGGCGTGCCATGGAGAACTCCAGATTGCCGGTCGTCGTCGCCGAATTGCTGGAGGCGGCCTTGCCGAGGATGTACCCGAAGATCGTGGAATTGGCTCGCATGCTCGCCTCGGTCTCGCCTCACTGCTGTGAGTAGTCGCCGAATCCGGACAATCGAGGACCGGCGTTGTGCGGTCCTTTCAAAGCGACTCAGACAGACGGGAATGCCTTCTTCTTTTCGCTAAAAATCTGAAAAAAGAGAGAGAAAGGGGGAAAGAAAGAAGAAGGGACAATTCTCGAGTAACGGCATTCGCTTTCAAGAGGCGACTTTGCGAGCGACGGCGGATTACCATATTGAATGCTCGCCTATCGAGCGCTTAATTTATTCAAATGTTATTCCGACGGATAACGTGGGACGGGACGAGGCGAAGGCATTAGTTGGCGAGCCGGACTTCGCTTCCGGCGTCGCACGTATCGGGGCTTTTTCACGTTCATTCTTAAATAAAGGTTACAGGATGCTGAAGGCCGGCGTACTGAATACGCTGCTCATTAGAATGGACCTGCCTTACGCGACGCAGCTGCGCTGCACCAGGCCGCCGAACATCGAGATCGAAGGCGCGGAATATCCGTGGGATACCATGCTGTTGATAACGAGCCTCTTGTGGTGTCTCTTGGGATCGGTGTTGCCGCCGAGGAGGCTGCCGGAACGCCGGATGAAGGACTTACCTGCGCTCCGCCGGTGCGCCATGTGGTACTGTTTGTTTTCGTTAATCGGGTTGTTCGAGAAATTCGTGCGGATTTCTACGGAAAAATGTGAAAAATATGGAAGTATAATTAGCCAGCCTGAGTCAACAAATAGTCAGTGCGGGCTAGATTAAATTTCCCACTCGTTCGATCTGGCGTTTCCGAGTTGGCGCCGCGTCCTTCGAAAATTTGCTTCCCGATACTCTTAGTCACGTGTTATAAATTTACGATAATTACAATGTTACGAATTTCCGGATTAACCATCCAACCAGTTAACTTATTTATCTAGCCTCCGTGAGAAGCGAATGTCACGTTACTAGTTAATAGCGATGTCGGAAATAAATATATCACCTCGCGGCTGGATACTCACGAAGTTCAATTCAGGCGACATTTCTACACAGTCAGGCCCACCTTTATCTATAACGTTTTTTTTTTTTCTAAAATGATCAGAGCCATTGAGAAGAAAAACGTTCGACACATTATCGGACAAAGTTATACGAAAGTAGTATCGACTTTGAAACCTTTGCAAACTTATCGAATGACCCAATATCTCCGCGAAACATCCCGTTCACTTCTTCCTTTCTCGTGCGCGTACACGTTTCTTGCTTGATTCGGGTTATCGGGTATGAAACTTGGGGTTTCTCGACGCAGCACAGGGGCTTGAGGTACTCCTTCCGGCGGCAGATACTCCGCGGCCAATGTCGAGCGGTTAACGCGAAGATAAGGAACGACATCGCCACGCTGATCCTCGCCGGAATCGTGGCACCTCTCCCGTCGTGGGACCTCGTCAGCAGCGGCATCGCGGAGGACATCGTCGAGCTCTTGAGCGCTATCCAGCCTGGCACCGCTAACATATGGTCGCAACGCATCACGTTCTCCGACAGCGACGACGATTTCTTCTTCAAGAGGACCTTGCTAATTATCATCGCGCATCTTGCCCATGTCGACGTTTACGTCTTCGTAATTTTCTTTTTTGTCAATTGAAAGTATCAGACTCGGACAAAGGACTTAGTATTATCAAATAAATCTCATTAACTAGTTCGTTAAATAAGTCTCATTGACTAAATTCGAATTTTGCTGGCGTTGTTGTTAAAAGTTGCCTGTTGAAGGTGAAATGCTTTGCTGCGAGGTACTACTTTATCAGCTGAAATTATTAATATGAGCAAATAAGATGGGTAGCTATATTTCTCTCTCTCTCTTTCTCTCCTTTTTCTTTTTTTTAGAGCATGGAATTTCAATTATTTCGTGACGAAGAGGTGTAATTATTACTCAAACGTGTAGGTGATGCAAAAAGCGATGATCATGCCGGTGATCCTGCGGATCGTTAAATACTGCAAAGTGAACGACAAATCGTCGCTGATCCTATTGGAGCACGCGATGTACATCCTATCGCTGTTGGCGCCGCGTATAGCGACAGAATTCGTGAAACGCAAAGGCACATTTACGTAAAGAGAATAAAAAGATCGAAATTATAATTGAGACGTTGATTTTTAACGAAGAAGAGAAAAGTGGAATGGATTTGAACGTTTGTAGATTATTGGCGATACTTGATCGAGTTTTGAATGTGAAGTTCGACGAACACCTCGCGACAATCTTAACAAAGACGATCTGTCAGCTAGTTCTGCAGGACGATGCTCTGCTGCTGCAGGACTTCCGAAAACACGAGGCGATACCATTGCTAATTAGTAAAATACATCACAAAAAATATTTACCGTTGCTAACTTTAATTGCTTAAAAGTGAGTTCTCATAAGAGGATGTTTCTCGGATTGCAGGATTGATCAACGATATCGTGGGTTTCCAGAGGCTCACGATGAGGAGACAACGAATTCTAACGTTGCTGCTGATCGCCCTAGAGGGTCTCGTGAAAAAACAGACATCTGTTCAACAGATGTACGGTGAACAGAGCGTCCAGCTCATTACAGAGATCTTTGCGAAATGCCTGTATCAAAAAAAGGATGACTTTCAAGTGGATCAACGGTAATGGTTCAATGTTTGATAAATACGATTTGCGTAAATATATTTTTCATATTACACTGTAATGGTGTGTGATCGCTCGACACATTCTATAAAGAAACGAGACATAAAAGGGAACATTTGATATTTAGATCTTTGATATCTAGAAAATACGACTCGTGACAATGTAGTTTAAAGGAAGTAAAATTTCGATAAGAACAAAAATAAAAACAAGTTCCTATCATCCTTTTCCCTAAGTGAAGTTTATATAAATAATTTTTTTACGTGACATTATTTCGACAGGCTCCTGCTAGCGACAGGCGCTTACCTTTGGGAATGTGTGGCGCGCTGTCCATCGAACCTGCATATTTTCCTGCAAAACGGAGGACTTTACTCCATACTGGACATAACTGAGATGTCGGACTACCCAGTGAAATGTTTATATCTCGGCGCGCTAACCGACATGTGCGACTGCACTTTTTGCGGGCCCTTTCTCTGCACTTGGAGGGGTGTCGATAAGAAGACAGGACTGATGTCCTTGCTGGCGGCTGTCTGGCGGGAGGAGGAGGACAGGATCGGCATCAAGAGACGCGCCGACGGTTCCATAGGAGGTTCGATCTCACGAAATTTCCTCCCCGTCAAATTCCGCGTTTCTCCGTCGCAGAAGAACGCAAAACTTTTCACCGACTTTTGTCATTTTAGACCTTGAACTACCTCAGATGGGCACCAAGCAGTGGACAGACACTAACGTTTTGAAACTGACCGCGGACTCCAGTCCCACTATAGTTGATATGATCGGTTCGGTGCGGCCGAAAGTGTTCGGCATTGTGAAAATCATCGAGAGGGACGGCGACAGATACGAGATCGCGAAGAAGCATTATAAAATCCTTCTTGATGAGCTGCCGACAAAGGACCGTGTAAGTTCAATCGAGGAGAACACGATGAAAAGCGAGAAAACGGGGGAGAGTAAATAAAATAAGAAAAATAATAGCTCAGCTCGTTCTAGAAATTGAACAACTAATTTGAAACATAACGTAGTTCTGAACAAAGATAAAGATGATCTACTTATTAATCTGGACGATTGTTTAGATATTTTTAATTTGGATAACAAACATTAAAGATAAAATAACTAACGAGTTCTCGGCAGCGGTTGAACAATTCTCTCGCGTAACTTAACCGACGTTGCATCCGCCGCCAGATAACAATGTGCTGCGTCGATGTGTACCTGCAGCTGAAGCTCGGTCAGATGTGGATGGAGGTCGCCAAGTACCTGGAGCAAGCCGGCATTACGCCCATGAGCGTGGACGCTCAGCTGATCTTCAACATGGTGCGATGGCATCGCTCATGGGGCCCGTTTATCGAGGAGAAGCAGAGGAAACTGATAACAGCTGACAAGCGCGCGGAGGAACTCCTGGAGAAGGAGGAGTTTGCGAGGATACGCGATTCCAAATTGGCACCCACCCTGGAAGCGTTGGACCAGGTGGACCTCATTCGTCGCACGGCTGACAGGTCGTACATGCTGCGGATGAAAGACCGGCAAAGGCGGCAAATTAACGCGGCGTTGCGTTTCCCTTGCGGCGCCGACGCCAAGCGATGTCATCGGACGTTCGCGGAGGGAGCGAACTTCACGGTACAAAATATCGCGAGGGAAAACTTGGTTCCTATGGTCGCGAATAGGGACCGGGGTGGAAAGAACCCGGTGACGAGAAATGATATCTCTGTTACCGCGACTGAGCATATTCGTATGAACATCCAGCTGCGTTAAGACTCGGTTGGGATATTTGGAAGCAATTAACCAAGACTCGTATTCTTATATATAAGCAAGAATATATATAATTTTACATGAAAATAAAGTTTACTTACACGAAAATATTTTATATAGCTCCACTAAAAATATATTCTTGTCATCTAAGAATAATTTTTACGAATCGAGGGGAGAATATTGGATAAACAGGACGATGTTTTTCGAGTGATACTATTCTTAATTTGAAGATATCGTTTTTTTTACCCAATATTTTTTCCTCACAACTCAAGAAAATTATTCTAAAATAACAAGGATAAGAAATATGGTATTTTTAATCTAAATATGTGGAATTTCTTCATGTAAGCAAGTTTTATCTTTATGTAAGATTATATATTATTGTTTATATTATGAGAATATGAATATATCCTTATCTGTTTGTCCTGTATTATTAACATTTCCATATTTACGTATACTTATCCTCGTGTGTCCAATTGTATTGCGACATCACTGAAGTGTCGATAATCTAATGTGACTGAGGAACGTTTTAATTTTAAATATATATTATAAATATTACAGTTTAATGACAATGACATTTAGACAATGATAAAGTTTTGTTTCTTAATGGCACTATAATTACCGTACTGTCTTTCTTATTACCTTATATTAATAATTTGAATCGGTGCCCGAATCAGTATTATTGAGGAACATTCTCTCCTCAAGAATATTATAAATTTTATCGAGGAGAAGTTAAATTCGCAAACTGAAATTTGTTTTAATTTAACATTCTTGATTGAATGCTGAATTTGGTAGAATTCAAAATATACTTTGAATAAATATGATGTTGCGATATGAGGAACTTGTGATATATTCCTTATAAGCGCGAAATATTGCTTAATATTAAGTAATATTTCTGGAATATTAATAGATGGCTACGTGTCCACTCTTAATAATATTTTAGAAATAAAATAAAAATTTAATGTTATTGTAATATTATATATTTTTTTTTAATATTCAACTCTATATATATTATATAATATTAAAATATTATTAGGAATATTACTTATAATATTAAATAATATTCATGTAATGTTCTAGGAACATTACGCGCTTATAGGAATTGTCTCTTCCGCGTGAGCAAAGAAATTCTCGGGATATATTCAGTCATCGTTCATGCGTTCATTGTTCTTCCTCAGGTTATTCTCGGACAGCGGCAATCGATCGACACGTCGCATCTGATCGGCCGCGACCTCGTCGGGGAATTACCCACTGCCTCACCCCCGGACTCGGTTTGCGAGGAAACCTTTTCTTCGCTCGGCCGCTACGCTTCCGGTGCTTCTCATTCTTACGAACGTAGTCTCGCGATGGATGAATGTTAAGGCCGCGCGCGAATCGATCCACGCACGTCGGGACGCTCGTCAAAATAGTGTCTATCGCGTCGTCGCGATCGTCCTTGAGGTACCGCCTTATCTTGCTGCGATATTACAGTTATCTTCCTTATCAATGCAAGTCAACAGAGCGTTATCTTCCACTGGACTTCTAAATCGGCACGATTGCGTAATGTAAACAAATAAATTCGATGTTTCCATTGAGAATCCCGGAATCGGAAGGAGCTTATCTGCCTGCAGCAACGGTTATTTATTTACATTTCCGCTCTGCATTGTTCTCTCCGCTCATCTTGAAATTTTTCATTCTCCTGCCTGAGTTTTTTTCTCATTTCGCAAACTCTTCGTCTCTAAATCGACGCCGTATTCGTTCAATATTCGAATCTATAACGACAACATTCGAGTCGAGTACTCGTCTAAGGTGCGTTCCACTTAACGATCGCGAGCAACATCCTCGTTTCTCCAGGATCCCTGTTCTTGAAATATTTGTGTAAAAAATAAATAAATGTCATTGCCCAGCTATTTTATGGTATATGATTATGTTCATGCAAGGACACTTACGTACACGCAACCCTTTCGCAACCCTTTCGAAAATAAACCCGAAGTAAGCAAGAAACGTTAAATCAATCTTTTGAAACATTGATATTACGTGGATTTTATAAACACTTTGACATAATATTTTATAAATGTTTAACTGTAATAATAATCCGTTATAATACAATAACGATAATATAATATTCCTAAATGTTAAAATCACATTGTATAAATATTATTTCCAACGTCGAATAAAAGGAAACTTTTTCACAAGAAAGATTCTTTATGGATACCAGAAATTGACTTATTTAAATTTACAAAATTATTCATTTATATATTTACTCACCTCTAAATAAAGCAAATATTCATTTAAACACGATTCTCACACTGTTGTATGCAACATTAAGAACTACACGTTTGAAAACCTCATAAAATATCAATATATAACAACGTTATGTTAGCGATTTCTAGCTTACTCGGGAGGGCTCTAGACGTTAAACAGAAACGAGCGTTAACCGGTAAACCGCTCTTGCAGCGCGCTGCGCGTTTCATCGTGTTTTCACGTGTCGCAAGCGTGTCGTTCCGTCCTCCTTCAGCGCGCAACGAACGACAAAGACAGAAACGACGCTCGCAGCGCGTGAGCGCCCAAACGGAACGCAGCCCTGGTGGATGATAAACGGAGGGGGGGGAGAGCGAGGAGAGCGAGCGCCGAGAGCGTGGCGAACGGCTAGTGAGAGCGAGCGTGCCGTTCGCGTCGCAAGCGGCCGTCGTTGGCTCGTGTTGTCCGTTGGTACCGGTTTAAAGCGAACGCGCCGAACGTAGCCCGATTTGCTCGCCGAGGAATAATTCGCCCCGGCCGACCGCCTCGCTCGCTCTCTCGCTCGCGCCAGTGTGTCGCGCGCCTCGTTACGAATCGGATCGTTTCTCCGATTTCTCTCGTTTTCCGATCGATCTCGCGAAACGAAGAAACGCGCGTTATCGACGAAGCGACCGAATCGCGGAGGAATCGGTGAGACACGGAATCGCTCGAGTCAAGATCAGTGGTTCGTATCACGCGGAGCATCCGTTCGGAGGAGCGCTCGTGGTTCGCGCGGCGGCGCAATTCTCCCTCCCGCCCTCTCTTTCTTTCATTTTTTCCTTCTTCCTTTCCGACCGTGCGTACGCGTCCGTCTCTTCTCCGTTCTCGCCGCTTTTGTCCGCCGTTTTTCGTCCTTCTCCTCCATCCTTCCGCCGCCGCTGTGGTCGCGTCCCGGGTCAACGAGAGTGTGCGGCCGACGAGCGAGTGTGCACTCCCGGAGCAGCAGTGCGCGCGCGCTCCGCTGCTTCCCCACGAAAATCGCGAGTTCGCCCTCGACCGCCGAGGGAATCTCTTCTTCTCTTGTCGTGCGGAGGAACCCTCCTCGTCGGCGAGGACGCAGCAGATATGGCGCGCGAGGAGGATCGATGTCGGTGCTTCGGTGCTTCGAACGCGCGGCGAAGAGGAGGACCCCGGCGGATCCCGTTGCCGCTCGTCCTGTGCACGCTCCTGGTCGGATCCTTGGCAGTCGCCGCCGCCGCCGAGATCGGTGAGTGTGTGTTTGCGCGCGCGTGCTTTTATGTGCGAATATAAATATCACGTATCCGTGTATGTGTGTGCACGTACGCGCGCTCACGACGTGCGCGCCGCGGCGGCGAACGTGCACGGGCGCCTTTCGATAACCTGTTGCGTATCACGGAGGATTCTTTTGGAGCGGATCGAGAGAGATGGCGACGACGACGCAAGAGAGGAACGAGCGAGAGCGAGCTAAGGGGAGAGACGATGAGAACGAGAGAAAAAGCAGGAGAGCGACGTTTATTTCGCGCTCTGGGACAAAGTCCTTTTAAACGGGAATAGTCCGATAGACTTTCGTGTGTCTCCGCGACGCAGAAAAAAAGCGAATCGACGGGTTATGAAAATGACTTACAGGGAAGTATATAATATAAACGGAGGCGCGAGAAGGGAGCGCTAGATCGTGGGAGGAGGGTCAGGAGAAAGGGAGAAAAAAGACTCGCCTCGTCGAGAAATCAACGTAGGTCTCTTCTGACGTCACACTCGTGACCGGCTGCTACGCAATAACGACGCCTTCGATGCGGGATTTAACGCGGCGCGTCTGTCTGCCTTGGTCGTGTTCGACCGTTGTCGTCGTCGACGCTGGGCGCCGTGCTGCATGGCGCCGATGCAACGGGATCGGAAACGCGCGAGACATCGTCGGAATAAGGTCGCGATCGCTCGCTCGTCTGTCCGTTCGCTCGCACGGCCTCGAAGACGCCGAGCGAGATCGTACGTTACTCACGGACCCGTGAAGACGAGACAAAATGCATTCGGCCGGTCGGAAATATTCGGAAATTCATTCTGAAATATAATAAATATAACCGGTAAATGTAAAAGTAACTTCGTTACTTTGGCGGAAATGGCAGGATACATCACCCTTTTTAATTAAATTCATTAAAAGAATCGAATAAAATCTGTCGAATAATTATCGGGAACGCGGGAAATCTCGATCGCGAGAAGCAACGCTTCGTCCATTTGTCTTGATATTTTTTTCGATTCTACGTCACCGAGCATTGAAATCACCGTCGCGCGCATCTCGGTCCTTTTCACCACGCAGTCACGTTTACGAAGAGCGGAAGAACGCTCCTCGGACACCCGGTATATACAAGTCTTCCCTTCTCCGATGCCTACTATACGTACTAACTATTCTGTCGCGTCGCTTAACACCGCCGTTGCCTTGAGCCCTTCGATTTAATGAGTTGTTTTCTCGCTGAAATTACACACGTGTGTCACGCGATGCACGAATCTCTCCTCTCGTCGCAGAAACCCCACCCCGATCGAATCGCGCTTATTAACAGAAGAATTGTGTGCTTCATCGATGATACTTTTTATACACGGCCTTGATAAGATTATTACTCGCCGGCTCGCTGTTGTAATTTTTTTCAGTGCCAAGAGAGAGGGAGATGCAGGGGAATTTCTGCGCGCGTGTACGATTGTGTATTTCTTTTTGTTCCGATTTTCGTCGGGGATAACGGTACGAATTCGCGAGTGACAGCTTGGCGAAGGTTATCTCGGGTCATCCCATACCGTCGACATTTCGCGCGATTTCGCGAGCCGAAACCGTTCGCGTTTGTTTCGGATATGGTATCGTGCGGTTTTCTCTCTCTCTCTCTCTCTCTCTCTGTACAGCATCAGCGGGAATAACAGGTAGAAATCGCGACTATTGTTGACGTTATTGAAGACATCGGAAATACTTTGAATATTGTTAATATCTCGTTGGAGCGGAATGTCAAAATTACAATTGTTGTTAGCTCCTTGCGGTGCAGCTCTCGAGACGAGCAGAATTCTGTTTAACTTTGAATGAGAGAAGAGCGATTCGCCTGTCTTCACGTTATCGATTTCAATTCGACGAGGCGTTACCTAAGACCCGGATATTGGGATCTAAAACTCGATATTTCCCTCCTTTCTTCCCTCCTACTTACGATCACTTCATTCGCGCCAATGCAAAATTGCAAGGTAACGTCATTGTTGGCGATTGACGGTTGGTATTTATAAACGAATGGCGCTTTGTCACGAACGAGAATTCGTTTCGTAATCACGAAGTTGAGAAGAAAAAAGAAGAGAAGAAAAAATATTTGCGGCAGAAAGACGCAGCTTCGAGAACGCGATATTAATCAATCGCGTACCGCAGGCGACTGGCTCGTAAATGAATTTTTTTGAAACACTCGCTTTTCGAAATTATTCGAATTCGGGGAAGTTCCTTTCTTCGCAATAAGACACGCGGATTTGAATTTACATATGAATTTTCTCTCAGTTGAATCGCAATTGCAAATATGTGACATCATATATATTATAAAATTCAACCGAGGATCTTATATTTAAGAAAAGAAAGAGAGATGCGAGAGAATATAAGTTTCATCATCGCGTTACGCTTATTTTTACCGCGTAGTTCCGGGATGATGAAGTTTACGGTTAAGCGGGCAAATAACAGGAGGAATATTTCATACCGCGTAAACGATAGTAACTCGGTTCCCGCAAATACGTATCGTTGCGCGGTGCAACAAGCTGCCGCATCCATATTACATACGCTGGCGGTGTTTTGCGGAAATCGATGGATTATCCGGCAACTTGACACGCCGCATGTACGCCTGTCGTATCGTCGAACGAAGTTATACCGTGACCGGAACTATACTGACCCCTTTCCTCCTCATATTTGTTTTACGCTTGTAAAACGCCGTCGTAATACCATATATCGTGCTCGCGTTTATCGTTGATATTCCAGACGGNCTTTTTTTTTTTTTTTTTTCTTCGAACCTGAAACATCGGAAACGATGGAAGTGATAGGTACACATCCCTGGCCACGTTATTAAGACGAAAGATGAGGGAAGTAGATGACGGATAAACGCGATGATATGAAAGCCTCTGCTAGGCGATTGTTTCGTTTTCCAGCAACAACAACATTTCTTACCACGTCTGTTCCTCGTCGAGTTCCTTCCAGGTTGTCCTCATTCGCATAACCGGATCGCAAAATCAGAGCCTTTTTCCCTCGTCTGGTTATGTGCATAAATTATCATGTCATGTAGCGTATCGCGTAGTTGCATACCTATCGGTGATTAGAAACATAAATGTCCGGAATATTTCAGAAGCTGGGGGCGCTCGGTGTGACGTAAATCATGAGCAAGGAAACTCGAGACGTCGAGATAGATGTCTTATAGAGTAATAAAAACCTACTTTGAATACGATATCGGCGCTTGTTAACTTCTCGTTAGAATCTTTAATTCGGTAGATTTCGTCTCAACGCTGTCCAAATCAAAATTCTGACATTACTTTGACTCAGATGGCTTATAAACTAATAAAAACCTATTTTGACGATATCGACGAATTCATTAACTTCTCTTTCGAACCTTTAATTCTACGGAAAAGTGGTCGTGATAACCGCGAGTCGAAATCTCGCCACATCAGCGCGGAGGAAGTCGCTAATTAAATATTAATTGCGAAGATTCGATTTTCGAAGCGAAAAGGTCGAGCCAGAAATCTGTTTACTGTTACGCGAAGCGACGCAGTCGCTTTCGCCGTCGCCTCGAGAGGAGACGAGAGTTCTTATTATTCCTCATCGACCTGCCTACCTTTCGGTACACATTTCCCAACTTGGTGTGGGCAGCCAGGGGGGCTGCGGAGATCCTAGTAGTAGCGCATGGCGCGAGTAATTTCTATCCGTGTCACACAGCGGTGACTTGTGGCGAATACACGCAAATACGCACGCATGTATCTACGTACGTCCGTACACCAACGGGCTCATCCGTGAGTCACGGCTTTTGTCATATTTCCATCGACGTAGAAAGTTCAACGCACTCTCTCGACTCCGCCGGTGTTACACCTTTCGTTGCCGCGGCGGATCACTCTATTTTCGCTGACGCGGCGCGCTGACCACGGACTTACACTCCAACTGACCTCGTTTGCCCCCCGCGAGGAAACGCGAGCCCACTGGCCGTATCGATGGGGCCGATACGTCGGTGGCGTGTTCGCCGTCGGAAAGGAAGAGTTAATTAAGCGAAGTGTCAACTTTCGAGAAATCTGCCTCGATAGATTTATTTCTTTTTTCCTACATTTCCGTCCAATCGCGCGTCGAATTGCCCGCACGGAGAGCTTCTTGGGATCCAGTCGGGAAATCTGATGCGCAAATTCCGGTTGGAAGTGCGGTGTTTTAAACACACGATTCCAAATGGGAAATGCGAACAGATCCTACATTCGGAGATAGATTTAAGCTGTAGGAGCTTAAATAGAGATAGCTAATGTCGTCGCTACCGCAGCTAAATCTATTGGCTGTTCGAATTAAGGCGTTACAATATATTTTTATCCTGCAGCGAGTGCATTTTACTTGTAATACCTTCGCGTTGTCGCTGCCGCACTTAATAAATAATTAGCTGGGATAGCAACGGAACATTAGTTGGCCCTATTTTTAGCTGCCGCAGCTAGATTTTAGGCTCCTATGGCTAATTCTTTCTCCGAATGTATTCGGTCAACCTCAACGATTTCCCCGAAATTTTGTTCCGCTTTCTGTTTTACGCTAAGATTGAGCAAAATGTACGAAACGCTTTAAGTATTTTGACACAAGCGCATACATGCTATGTGCATGCTGTACGTTAAATGCAGCGACGTTAAAAATATAACTCAAAGTTTTCTAATCTGATAAATCCCGTCAAACTGTCATTCAGCTCCGGCGATAAAGTAAACCGCAACGCACAGCCAATCAACGTCACGGAAAGGAGGTTCGACCCTATATTTGGGATAAGAATGGAATTCTTAATCCATGTCCTGGTAAGATAACCTGTTTTGTGGCAACTTTGGGTGTTTTAATCGGAATCTATGCTGTGTATGAAAGAGTCCGGGGAAATTTCTATGCAGACGCAGTGTAAAGAAGCCTTCATTATTAATATTGTCTTATTCCTAAATATCTAATATTCCTAAATATTCCAATTAATATTTCAGTAATATTATTTAACGTTATTGTAATACTATATATTTTTTAAACATCATATATATATATAACATATA